AGGTCTAGGTAACTATATCTATGCCAGAACTAGAGAACGTATGAAATTTGATCAGGTGAAATACTTCAGTCTCTAGATCTTGATTGTAGGAAAACATAAGGTAAAACAGAGGTCATGATACATGTTTTAATGCTACAAACACACAGCATAGGGCAAACCTATAATTATATAATCCATATCAAATCTACAATCTTGTAGTTAAAAGCAAAACAACAATCATACAACACAGAAAACTGTACCGTTCAATTTTATCATTCGAAACGTGCAATCATACAAAACGTGCAATCATACAAAACGTGCAATCATACAAAACGTGCAATCATACAAAACGTGCAATCATACAAAACGTGCAATCATACAAAACGTGCAATCATACAAAACGTGCAATCATACAAAACGTGCAATCATACAAAACGTGCAATCATACAAAACGTGCAATCCTACAAAACGTGCAATCCTACAAAACGTGCAATCATACAAAACGTGCAATCATACAAAACGTGAAATCATACAAAACGTGCAATCATACAAAACGTGCAATCATACAAAACGTGAAATCATACAAAACGTGAAATCATACAAAACGTGCAATAATACAAAACGTGCAATCATACAAAACGTGCAATCATACAAAACGTGCAATCATACAAAACGTGCAATCATACAAAACGTGCAATCATACAAAACGTGCAATCATACAAAACTTGCAATCATACAAAACGTGCAATCATACAAAACGTGCAATCATACAAAACAATCCAACAATCCTACAATGATGTCACGAACATTTGGCCTAAACTCCAACCAATCTAAAAACACGACTGTGTGATTGTGTAATGATTGTGTAGTGATTGTGTAGTGATTGTGTATGAACGGTGATTCGTTGGTTGGTTTTTGTAGCATTTTGTGAGGGGAATAAACAACAGAGAGAGTAAACAAAGAGACAGAGAGAGGGGGCCAAGAGAAACAGAGCGCGGAGTTCATGGGATACGTGTTGGTGGCTCTCAATTACAGGAGAAAACAATCAATAGGGCAGGTAAGCGCTGAGGTGAGGGCGGGTACAGCCTGTAAGGCCCCGGGGTGGGGGTGTAGAAGGTAACAAGGCTGTCGCAGTCATGGCCGTATCTTCACATCACCATCTGCAGGTTTTACCTCAGTCATTATCTCACTCTAACACACTACCTCACCAACCTTTCAATGTTCTGCGAACTCACCTTGATATTCCTCTAAAAAGTTTCCTACTGTTTCCCCAGCCCTTCCTGCTCCCACCCCCCCTTACCCCCTGACGGCACCAATACAACGAAGACAATGTCGATTAGCCGTACCATCTCACGCTAACCTTTAAGACCAGACGAGATCAAGGCAGTTAACCATGAGTAGAAAACACCTCCGTGGATTATCTTTCTTGAGACCGCCAATCTAATTTGCCGCTAGGCTTACCGCGCTCTACAAACATAGCTTCACTCTACTGCTACTGCCCCCCCCCCACCCACCCCAACCCTCCAGTAACATCTCACTCAACACCCCCCTCCCCTCAGTACTCCCCAACACACGCGCATAATTCAGAATCCCGGTGAATATGCGGCTAAAACACGTGCAAATATTTGATTCCACTTGTTGAAAACTATTTGGGCCAATATTTACCTGCTGACCAAAACGAGTTGTCGAACCTGAAGTGTGGGGGTCAAAGTTGAAGTGTGGGAGGTCAATTTTGGTCAAAACAGGTGTATTTACCAGCACACTGGATGGGGGGGGGTGTATGTAGTGAGGTGTGTCTATGTCTATGTAGAGCGGTGTGCTCCTCGAACACATCTTACACACCAGCGATCTCCGACTAGCAATTAAAATCAAAACATTAAAAACTTCAGAAACAAAAACAACAAAACAATCAGAAGGAAACTCCTGCATCAACTACTTGTGCAGGTACAGATACAACAGGTGAACGGGCAGGTAATTGTACAGGTACAACACTTGTACATGTAGCTGTTACGTTTAAGTTGTGTACGGAAAGTGTAAGCATATGCACAGGATCTTACAGGGGTCTGTAGAAGTACACGTACACTTGTTGTCACGCTTTGTAGTTAACAGCTTTCCTTTGTTACAACACTAACCCTAATCAAACCCTAAACTAACCACACTTTACCCAGCCTGAGTAGCCAGGGGTTACACACTGACTCCGAAGTTTTTAAATAAATTTTTGACATGATTCTCTTATCTGGTAGCTAAATTATTTGTAAATATTGTTTTAGAGGACAGAAGATAAGGGTCTAATTAAAGTTGTTTTAAAATAAGGTTGTTTCTTATCGTAGTGAAAGATGACGTTACATCTCAACAAAAGATCATGTTAGAGGAACTAAAACAAGTGGCAAAAGATCATGCTTTGATGGCAGAGGAACTAAAAGATCATGCTTTGTTATGAGCACAGCCAGAAGTGACAAATTATTTCCACATTATTTGACATCATGATAATAAATCTAACTTCACAAAGAACGATAACTGTCACGAACAGAGGGGAGAAGAAAGATAATTCTCAGGGACAGAAAAATGGGAGATAATTCAAGCCAAGCGAGTCAAAACACGTAAAAAACACGGCTGCAAATGGGGGATAAATTAGACGTGGTCTAGTGTCACGAGGGGGGGGGGGTGGTGCTGGGGGGGGGGGGGGGGGTTTATCATGTGACAAGACAGTCACCTCCTCGTGTCACCGTGACCTTCATGGTTACACACCTGTGTGTTTACACACATAAGTGGGAGACGTGTATCAATTGTTTTAGCCGTACCGTGTTTACACACATAAGTGGGAGACGTGTATCAATTGTTTTAGCCGTACCGTGTTTACACACAGAAGTGGGAGACTTGTATCAATTGTTTTAGCCGTACCGTGTTTACACACATAAGTGGGAGACGTGTATCAATTGTTTTAGCCGTACCGTGTTCACACACATAAGTGGGAGACGTGTATCAATTGTTTTAGCCGTACCGTGTTTACACACATAAGTGGGAGACGTGTATCAATTGTTTTAGCCGTACCGTGTTTACACACATAAGTGGGAGACGTGTATCAATTGTTTTAGCCGTACCGTGTTTACACACAGAAGTGGGAGACGTGTATCAATTGTTTTAGCCGTACCGTGTTTACACACAGAAGTGGGAGACGTGTATCAATTGTTTTAGCCGTACCGTGTTTACACACAGAAGTGGGAGACGTGTATCAATTGTTTTAGCCGTACCGTAAAAGAATACACTTCAGTTATTCGATGAACAACCCACTTCCATCAGCCTCATGTAAAACCATCCGGCTGTTTGTGTCGTCTCGCCGTTTGAAAGTTTGTGTGACAAACTTACTTGACTCCCCACACCTCCTCACACCTCCCCACACCTCTAGTTTGTCAAATATCAAAATACGTCTTCAATTATAGAGGGTCGTCTGATATAACAGTATAACGTCGGAGACAACATTATACAGCGTATGAAGACAATTAGCACACATAGCGTCGTGTTGTGCACACAAACTGTGTCGTGTTGTGTGTCCTAAATCTCCCATTCTATTTTAATCCCAACAGAAAAAACAAAAGGCGCCTCCAACATTTCCAATAAATGACACTAACGGGCTTCCGTCAATCAACATATGACGACAGGCAAAGAGTTCTTTCAATATGACGGTGTTCACATCTTGTACAAGGGGTGGGGGTGGCGAGGTGCTATGTTCTGTTCTATAGGGTAGGGGAGTGGTATACAACTGCACTCTATAACCCGTACCGTTTGAAGGAATCGAGAGACACGAAGGGCCTAGATCTACAAGTTTTTTTTCAATCAACATACGACTGACATCTAATCGAAATATTTAAATACATTTCATCAGACAAAACATTATTACTAAATTCTCTTTAAATAATATTAAGTACTTTACAATTGCTTTACAAGTTCAAATACATTTCAACATAATTTTCGCATACACATGGTAGAATCAATCAAGCATTGATTTCTACCCCTAATTATACAACAATAGAAATAGAATATTTAATATTTAAACTGAGTGTGATTGTAAATAGTTAAACGTTGAACGACTACGTCAGAGCAGGCCTACACACATAAGTGACAAGTAACAACAGAAAGTTTATAAGTGATAAAAATAATCAGAAACTTGATTACTAATTAAAAAATGCATTAAAAACGTTTTAATAACAAGCTTTTATGTAATACTGCACCAAGAAAATGAGAAAATAAATTATTGTTTTTATAATATGATAATAAAAATACTGAATAACTCTAAATTACTTTATTTAGGATTTTTTTATTAATTCTTTAAAAATTAATTAAGCATCCAATTAAATCAAATTTGATGTCAGATTGCACTGTCGTCGGGTCTTCACCCGCGTGCCAAGTTTGAAACGCATCGGTAAGTAAAAAATGGTCAAAATTTCGCTCGGCAGTTTCGATCCATGACGCACGAAGCACTTCGCACGACAGTCAGAGGAAGAAAGTTTTTAAAAAGCTTGAAATAACAAGTTTCTAAGTGATAAAATAATTATAATCTAAAAGACGTTGGAACTTTTTTATTGCTTGGTTTATTAAACACTGTGGAGGCGAGAAGGCGAGTGAGATAGTAGAACGATGTTAGTTGACAATTTGACAGTTCTAACTGGCACGACGGCTTCAGATATCGCCTGTCACAATAATTCACCTAAACCTAATACTTCAGGCACCTATAGCCAGGTACTCATTGGAGCTGGGTGAACTCAGGGACGTATTACGGTTAGGTACCCACCAGAGCAGCGTGAACTCAGGGACGTATTACGGTCAGGCACCCATCAGAGCTGGGTGAACTCAGGGACGTATTACGGTTAGGTACCCACCAGAGCTGGGTGAACCCACTGAAGTACTTACGGGTACGAGTCCGTGTTATCTAGCTAGTGATTAAAGAGGTGGTAATCGTGCGACCACGTCGCCTCCATGCAGTGTTGCCGTTCTCTAAAATGATGTATGATGATGTGACTTACGTTTGGTGCAGATATCCTTTTTCCTTACAGAAATGTCAGGTGAAATTAAATCGAAGCTCTTCGATTCCAATGTAAAATACACTTCAAATCCACTTGTGAAAAGAACTTAAAATCCGCAGTACTCACAGGCTTATTCCACTTTAAAATAGATGTCAAATCTAGACTGTTAATCTCGATTAAATGTAAAGAGAGATTTTAAATCTGGTCTGTGTGGGCAACAGATTATCAAGCTTCTCAATCAACGGATTATCAAGCTACACTGCACACAACACTGACTAGACTAATCTGACTAATCCCGCGTCTTATATACCTGACTCCAGACTGACTAATCCCGTCTTAGAGTAGACCATGTGGATGACTGAAACTCAAGGAAGGTTGGACGGGCTAAAAATAGATCTGTTACTTTCAGCATTCATGTATTGGCAGGGGCGAAACAGCGTTGAAAGGGGGTGGGGGGTGGGGGTGGGTGGATTGAGGGGGGGGGGGTCATGTTTCTCAACAATTGACATCTGGGAGGAACACACTCCGCAGGTAGCAGGTAAACACAACAGCTACAGGTGCACGCCGTGGGGTGGATCCGGACTGACAGACAGGGATATTGTGTGGGGGGTGGGGGGGGGGGGTGGAGGGGGTGGGGGTGTTTTTAAAGCTAAAGCTGAATGCTGACAGAAAAAACGTTTTATTTTTGTAACCTTTTTAAAGCCAGGCAAAAAGCTGAACTATGTACAGGCAGTCTTGTGGTTCACGTAGAGGAGAGGTATCAACTGGGGGGGGGGGGGGGGGCTTGTTTTAAGACTTGGGTAGGCTGGGGTTTATTGTGCCCAGTAAATCATTGCACCACCACCCCTACATGGCGCCCCACCCCCAAATGTCCCATCACCCCCCCCCCCCAGATTACGACCAACCAACCCCCTCACATGGCAGCCCCACCCCCAAATGCCCCATTACCCCCCACATTACGCCAACCCCCCCCCCCACATGGCGTCCCACCCCCAAATGTCCCACGACCCCTACATGGCACCCCACACCCACATGGTGCCCCACCCCCGTATGTCCCCAACTTATCGCCGTCCCTGAAATCTCCATCAGATCCCATCGATACACTCCTCCACACCCCCACCCCCACCCCCACCCCCACACACATGACTAAATAACACAGGTCCACACGCCCCACACCCTACCGCTCCCCCCCCCCTCCACATTACTAACTTAAATTCTACCCATCCCTCACTCCACGTTAAAAATCTTAAGAGGTTTTCCGTCCCTCCACATCCCTCCCCACCAGAAAGCTTCCCTCGATACATATATCGTTCAGCCAGACAAATTTCTGTATACCCACAGCCAATAAATGTGCCGGAATATTTCACTCGTTTTATTTTTTTAACACTTGGCTACATCTAACTGCATGCAAAAACATTTTCTAAGAGACGCGCTTGATTCAATTAGTTTCTCAGTGGAGTTTAGAGTGACTTGCCCTTGATCTAACTTGCTGCATTAATGTGTAGGCTGAATACAGCATAGAGGAACCCTGGACCCCTCTCCGTGTGGGTGAAGTAGAGTACATCAGTCTAAGACATATACTGAGTTTCGTCATTGACACTCTATGTGATTTTTATTCGTGTTTAGTCCAAAATGGGTTGTCAAAAGTGTGTAGACGATAAAAACGATGTGTATGTTGATGTTGATTTGAATCTTTGTTGGTGTTAGTGCATAAGGTGAACACATGCTGAGCAATTATATAATAGGCAAGTTAGTTGTCAGACTAATTAAACAACCCCCCCCCCCCACACACACACGCAAGCTTCCTGCATACACCTATTGACTCAATCACCAATCCCCCACATACATGTAGATTTTCTGAGTAAATCCCTCACACATCTACACACACATACAATCACAGATGCATACACACATCCATCAGTACACACACACACATCGCATTAGACCAAAACACACATCAGCAAATATCCCTCCACAATCATCACAACCTCTACACAAATACACAATCATCACAACCTCTACACAAATACACAATCATCACAACCTCTACACAAATACACAATCATCACAACATCCACACAAATACACATCATCACAACCTCAACACAAATACACAATCATAATCCACACACATTATTACAATCCCCACACACACACAATCCCCCTAGTCTCGCCCCACACACTAAACCCTCACACCAAAGCTGACAACCATAATTAACCCTCACCCCCACCCCCTCCACTCCCCACCCGTCTTAACCGATATACCAGAGACACCCACATCGCTTCAACCCACATCTACGTCGTGTGCCCCACCCCCACCCCACGCCTTATTACTTCCCCAGCTGCACGCTCCCGGGGGTGCTATGATGGGATTAATATGTGGGGGTGGGGGGTGGGGGGGGGGGTCCCTACCGTCTGATACAGTCAGGAGTCTAAGGTGTCACGTGGTTTGGGCTACACGCTATTTTATTTTTAGACCATGCCAATTTAAGTGAGTAATTTTTATACCGAACAGCTATTTTTAGACAGGAGTGAGTAGAATTAGATGATTTTTCTACATAGGGGGTAGCTTAGCTCTGGAACCGATCATAGGGGCGGGGGGGGGGGTGGGTGCTGTAGATGGAATTATGGTTGAAATGACGTCATTAAATACCTAGGACCTCTTCTGGTCATGGTGATAGAACAAATTAGATCGCTTATTTAACTCCTGGATCATTCGTTTGATATTTGGAGCCTTGAGTCATTAGTTTGATATTTGGAGCCTTGAGTCATTAGTTTGATATTTGGAGCCTTAGGTTATTAGTTTGATATTTGGAGCCTTAGGTCATTAGATTGATTTTCACAATATCTAATCATTAGTTCTCGTAAACCTTCAGCTTAATTAAGTCTAGTGCCGGAACACATGTACATATTACGTAATCTTTCAATCAAGCCGTCCCACTCAATTAACCAAAAAACAAGAAAACATTTCTCATCGTATTGTAAAGTCGTTAAAACAAGGTCAACATTTGCCGGAAGTCCAGTGCAGGTTAAAGGTCAGGACAACTCAAAACGTTAATCCGATAATGGAACAAAACGATCGATCAGCTGATAAGAAATTGTTTCAGTTACAGGTACGTGTAAGACATCAGTTACAGGTAAGTGTAAGAAAGACATCAGTTACAGGTAAGTGTAAGACATCAGTTACAGGTAAGTGTAAGACATCAGTTACAGGTAAGTGTAAGACATCAGTTACAGGTAAGTGTAAGACATCAGTTATAGGTAAGTGTAAGACATCAGTTACAGGTAAGTGTAAGACATCAGTTACAGGTAAGTGTAAGACTTACATGTAACTGTAAGACATCAGTTACAGGTAAGTGTAAGACATCAGTTACAGTTTAAGACATTAATTACAGGTTAGTGTAAGACATCAGTTACAGCAGTGTTTCTTCCAGACTTTTTTCTCCGGGGGGGGCACTTGAAATCTTCGGGGGGGGGGGGGGCGGTAAACTTTCTTCGGGGGGCGGACACTGTTAAAAGTATATATTTTCTATATAAATTATATAAATTTCATTTCGTTCGGGGGGGCGGTAAAAAATTTTCGGGGGGGCTTCGCCCCCCCCCCCGAAGAGATGCCTGGAAGAAACTCTGAGTTACAGGTAAGTGTAAGACATCAGTTACAGGTAAGTGTAAGACATCAGTTACAGGTACGTGTAAGACATCAGTTACAGGTACGTGTAAGACATCAGTTACAGGTAAGTGTAAGACGTCAGTTACAGGTAAGTGTAAGACATAAATCAGAGAACATGATTACAAAATGTCAGCAAACAAGTCATGTTGACTGACTACAGATTACGTCTCCGGGTGCCCCGAGAACTGGGGGGGGGGGGGGGCGCTGACGTACACCGGAAGTTGAATTCCCGATTCAGGAAAACATTGTAAACAATTTTCTGTTAATCTTGCTTCGAATAACCAAATGTTTCTTCCGTCTAGATAGCTGAGGTGATTCAAGTCTGCTACGTTTTGTAACAGGACACCATCGGCATGCGTCATTGAGACCCCGGCGCCACGGTTGGCTGCAGATATCAACGGATGTCTTGGATTCTTCTGACATGCGCAAACACGAGGGTGACGGGACGAACGTGGGGCACGCGCCTGAGTTTCCGGGCGTGGGGGTGGGTGCTCCCTCAGACGGATGACGCAGGAATCCCGACGCCGGAGGGGCGAGCAAGAAAATAGTTCCAGTGGTTTTAGGGTTAGCTCCATCAGGGTGTCTCCGCCTCTATCAAGTGAAATGACGTCAACGAGTCTCAGAGATTTCTGGTATTCTGCTACAGATTCGATAGGACGTGGACAAAGATGCCGCTGGACTGACATGAGATCCGATGCTGATTATTTTGGTTCTTGTGGGTTAGACGTACCCAGATATTCGTAGATATGGTGTAGGCCTATAGCAATACTTGAAGAAGACCATAAGATAAATGGTGACACTTAGCGTTAGGTTTTGTTTTCGATTTCTTCAGACCAGACTTCTTTTTCTTCTTCTTCGTTCTTAATTTTTAGTGTTGAAGGGGATCGAGATTTATCTGCCAGTGGGTTTGAACTCGAGACTTTGTTCGAATTTATCAACCATGAGCTTTTTGCCGACTCGACCAACACAATTAAGCGTTACGTGTCAACTGGTTATGCGCCATTGAGGCCATTGACTCCGATTTCAGCCTGCTTTTCTTTTTGGATTTGCTTCCATAGTCTTTGTCCAACCAAGAACAAACTACAAGGCAGCAGTTGTTTAATTTTGGAGTTGTCTCTCCTAGAAGAGTGGCTGTCCCCATGAGCAACCATGAGCTTTACCGACTCGACCACGCCGACCCCTAAACTCGGACTAAAATTCGTGTATCCCGCTGTTTCTACTGCAGATTTTTTTTTATCCCGCTGTTTCTATGCAGATATTTAATGCCACAGTTTCTATAGCAGATTTTTTTTATCACGCTGTTGAATTAAAATTAAGGAGCGGAAAATCTGAGATATCAAAGGATTAGCCGAACCGTCTTGGCTATAAGGAGCGGTGTATAGTACACACACAGATACACACACAGATACACATACACACAGTGCAAACAAATCAGAACTAGGAATGTTATTACTAAATGCTCAACAATTTTTAAACATTTTTTTTTTAATTTTATCACGTTTCTTCATTTTTATATTTTAGATTATTTTTTAGGGAGGAGACTACGAAGATAAGTCGCCAAAGAAGGAGTGGGTGGAGCCTAGCACCCCTCCCATTTTGTTAACGCCAGCTGATGACATTGAAAGGGGAGTCTAATCAGGCTACAAGGGCCGCCACTCTGATTAAAGCCAGAGTTATCTGAGGGGAGATAACCCACATCTACATCACACCTCTCGCGCCATTCACAACACGAAAACCCAACATAAGGGGAGATTTTTGTGACCCCAATAGACGGGAGATAATGGCCAACACGTTAGAGCCTGCAGGGGTGACTGGTCGAGTGTGGGGTCGAGTCCCCATCCCACCTCACCGACATTCTGGTCAACCTTTGATCGTGAAATAGATGGGGAATTTAGTCGTGTTAACAGAACTATTTCAGTCGTGTTAACAGAACAATTCTAGTCGTGTTAACATAGCTATTCTAGTCGTGTTAACAGAACAATTCTAGTCGTGTTAACAGAACTATTTCAGTCGTGCTAACAGAACTATTTCAGTCGTGTTAACAGAACTATTTCAGTCGTGTTAACAGAACAATCTCAGTCAAGCTAACAGAACTATTTCAGTCGTGTTAACAGAACTATTTCAGTCAGTCGTGTTAACAGAACTATTTCAGTCAGTCGTGTTAACAGAACTATTTCTGCCATGTTAACATGAACTCGACTCTACAACTTGATACAACTTAACCCTCAGCATAGATTTACCCTGTGACTAGACTAACCTAGACCCCACTGCCTGAGACTAAGACCGATCCAGATTTTGTATGAAGAAAACAGCGAGAAAAAAACACCCCGAGACAAACGTAACAATCAACAAAAGATGTTTCGACCCAAGGCCTCCATCGGATTACAAATAATAAATCACAACAAACTACGAATCAGGTGCGAAATGGAAGACATTGATTAGGGTGTCGTGGGGTGTGGTGTGTAAGCTGTACATACATAGAGGTGAGCTGGCCGGTCGGTGTTCGATTCTCTTACCCACCGTAGTTATTTCTAAATTTAGCACTTTAGCTCACCTGAATTTTTACATGAAAAGTCAGACATTGATACAGGTTGAGGGGGCGATGTTCTAGCATAAGGCTGAAGTGTTGTTTGTGGCATGTGGGCCCCGGTCCCTGAGGCCCCCCCCCCCCCCCAGAGTTGATACAGGTATAACAGAGCAGGACCCAACCAATGCACCGTCACGCTGGTCTGAGGGTGAAGCGTGTCCATATTTGGTGAGCAACGCCAGCACATAAATTATGTTAATGAGGTTTAGACTTGAAACAGGAGATCTCAAGGGTTCAAGGAGTGCACGAGGTGTGTGTGTGTGGGGGGGGGGGGGGTGTGGGGGGGGGGGGGAGTGCACGAGGTGTGGGTGGGGGGTGGGGGGTGTGTGTGGGGGGTGGGGGGAGGTGTGGGTGGTGTGGGTGGTGTATGTGGGGGGGGGGGAGGGGTTATACTCTACAATTATGGGGTGGGGTACAGGCTTGTCAAGTTAATATTTGGTTCTGTGACGTCTTCTTATGGTTGGCCATTTGCTGTCAGTCCATAGGGTTGTCTCATTGGCTCTATGGTTGGCACTATGTTGTCAACCCACACCTTGAACAAGTTACAAAGTGCTAACGCAGTTGGATAAAGTGGCCAGTTTGATGAAGTGGCCAGTTTAATGAAGTGGCCAGTTTGATGAAGTGGCCAGTTTGATGAAGTGACCAGCTATGATGATGAAGTGGCCAGTTTGATGAAGTGGCCAGCTATGATGATGAAGTGGCCAGTTTGATGAAGTGGCCAGCTTGATGAAGTGGCCAGCTTGATGAAGTGGCCAGTTTGATGAAGTGGCCAGCTTGATGAAGTGGCCAGTTTAATGAAGTGGCCAGTTTGATGAAGTGGCCAGTTTGATGAAGTGGCCAGTTTGATGAAGTGGCCAGTTTAATAAAGTGGCCAGTTTGATAAAGCGGCCAGTTTGATGAAGTGGCCAGTTTGATGAAGTGGCCAGTTTGATGAAGTGGCCAGTTTGATGAAGTGGCCAGTTTGATAAAGCGGCCAGTTTGATGAAGCGGCCAGTTTGATGAAGTGGCCAGTTTGATGAAATGGCCAGTTTGATGAAATGGCCAGTTTGATGAAGTTGCCAGATATTCTAAATGTCACGACGACGCAAGTTTCTTTAGGGGAAAAAATTTGGGCCTTTGCCTTAACTGTCCTCGGTGACACAGCAGGCTACACAACAGACGACACAGCAGACGACATAGCTCGCAACACACAACACGGCCAACCAGACGACTTCGGGATGTTATCTCGTGACGTAGCTAGACAGGCAGACGAACAGTTTGGGACTGTAGATCTTTGAGGGGGGGGGGGTTGCATAATTAGGCACTGAGTTTAAAGAAATAGGTTTCGTGTTACAATTATAAAGTAATACTGTCAACACTTTAGGCAGACGCGCTTCTTGGAGGCGGGGGAGAGGTGGTGGGCACATTTATCTTGAGAAGGGGGAGGTTACATTGTGGAGGGGAGGGTTCACATGTCTATTGTGGAGGGGAGGGTTCACATGTCTATAGTGCAGGGGGGGGGGTTACATGTTTATTGTGACTTTCAGAACATTTTCTGAATGTCGTGCCTGGAAATGCAGCTGTAGCAAGGGCTGGGGCGAGAGTGGGTGGGTGGGGGGGGGGGGCATGGAACAAATGCTAAACTAATTAGTGGAGGGGAGGGGTGGATTGGAACAAATGCTAAACAAATTAGTGGTGGGGGGGCATGGAACGAATGCTAAACTTATGGACTGATGAGGCTCCTGATTCATTGAGTGGATCGCACCCACACCATGCCCCTTACACCGACACCATGTCCCTCACACCAAGCCATCCACACCATGCCAACCACACCAAGCCATCCACACCATGCCCCCCACACCAAGCCATCCACACCATGCCCCCCACACCAAGCCATCCACACCATGCCCCCCACACCAAGCCATCCACACCATGCCCCCCACACCAAGCCATCCACACCATGCCCCCCACACCAAACCATCCACACCATGCCACCCACACCAAGGCACCCACACCATGCTCCTCTCATCATGCCATCCACACCATGCCCCTCACACCATGCCATCCACACCATGCCCCTCACACCATGCCACCCACACCATGTCCCTCACACCATGCCCCTCACACCATGCCACCCACACAATGCCCCTCACACCGTGTCCCTCACACCATGCCCCTCACACCTTGCCACCCACACCATGCCTCTCACACCACGCCCCTCACCCCATGCCCTCACACCACCCCCTCACACCACGCCCATCACACCATGCCAACCACACCATGACCCTCACACCATGCCACCCACTCCATGCCCATCACACCATGACCCTCAAACCAAGCCACCCACACCAAGCTACCCACACCATGCCACCCACACCATGCCCATCACACCATGCCCCTCACACCATGCCAACCACACCATGACCCTCACACCATGCTACCCACACCATGCCCATCACACCATGCCCCTCACACCATGCCCATCACACCATGCCCCTCACACCATGCCAACCACACCATGACCCTCACACCATGCCACCCACACCATGACCATCACACCACGCCCATCACACCATGACCCTCACACCACGACCATCACACCATGACCCTCACACCACGACTATCACACCATGACCCTCACACCACGACCATCACACCATGACCCTCACACCACGACCATCACACCATGACCCTCACACCACGCCCATCACACCATGACCCTCACACCACGACCATCACACCATGACCCTCACACCACGCCCATCACACCATGACCCTCACACCAAGGCAATGAATCTGCCCAGCATGTTTCCCCCCCCCCCCACCACCATTGAAGATGACCACTGTCTGAACATGCCCTGCCCGTTAAGCTGACCACTGGGACAGGCAGACAAAGATGACACCCAATGGGACCTATAGGACAAACATGAGACCCGCTTGGACATGTAGGACAAATATGACATCATAAAACGACCTATTGGACAAACACAAAATCATGTAAACTATAGGACAAACATATCATATGACCTATAGCACACAAAAACCGTTCGTCCATAAATGACGTCACAATTCTAGCGGGGGGGGGGGGGGGGGGGGGGGGGGAAGTGGTGTGGTATTGAAGGTGGGTGATAATGGAAGGTGAGTGAGGGGGGGGATTTAAAACTCAATTCTGGAAGTTATTTCACGTTTTGTAAGAATAACTTAAAATCTTAACTTATTCAACTTAAATTTTACTTCAGCCCACCCAACTCTGATGGATACCTAACTCAGGTTAGGGAAAGTAGCCTAAATGCGGCTAGGCATTGTGCTGACCACTATAAGAAGTTAAATTTAAGTTGAATAAGATAACATTTTAAGTTTTTCTTACATAATCGACATACAAATTAAATTAAAATTAGGCCTAGAAATTTATTTTAAAATATTATTAGAATCTAGTCTATAGGCCTATTTTATTAGGAAATTATTTAAAAATTAAACAAGTCGAGTCGAAACTTGAACAAGCTCAATCAAAAATGTAATTTATTTTATTTTTAAAAATATAGAAGCTACGTGTAATTTGTTTTAATGGAGGTCAAAAAAGAATATTTTGTTTTTATATTACTTTCATAATGTTAGGATTTAGGACGTTCGAAATTCAAAACTTTTGAAGAGAAGTAAACAGAACTCCTACCTTTAGCTAGCGGCCACCACTTCCGCATCCATGATTGTTATTGTTTCGTTTCTAAAAATACACGACAGTAGCTTCCCTTAGTACACATTCTATGGTGACGTCTTGCACAGCTGACACCCTCTGCTATGCTTTTTTAGCCGAGTCGTCATGGATTAAATTTAGGGGAAACCGGAGGACTATCGTCCCTGTTTCGACCGAGGTACGTACACTCGAGACAAGGGTCTCTTATCATCTGTAATTAAGTAAGTATCAGCTGTCGCTTTTCCCAAGCGATCGAGGAGATAATGGTCCTGAAACTCCCCCCTCTTGACTGTTTCTGTCCTGATCTGCTGTTGTCTATCTTCCCACTTTCGTTTTGTCAAGGCCCGATTCTGTTATCAGCTGTACTAGTCTACTATCTTGGGAGGTTGTGGGGACTCGTCGAGACTAGCACGAGGCACGAAAGACGGGACATCAAGCTCGTCTGCTCCGCCTACCCTGCGACAATTAGTTTAGTGAACAGATGTCAAGCCCCCACAACTTAATTTATTTTGTTCTACTCTGGTCACATCATGAGGGGTTGTGGCCATTTCTAATTCAAAGCTTTGGAATTCTGAGATAAGGTACACCTAGCTAGTTTGTAATTTTAAATTTTTTATATTTGATGTGTTACTCTTGAGTGCTATTTAATTTGTGCTGTTTATTTTTTTTTTAGGCCTAATTAATAATTAGGCCCTATAGGCCTTATTATAATATTTAATTTAGGCCTGTTTTGGTGTAGCCATTTGCTAATGTTGGGCAAATCTAGTAGATGACTGTTGTAATAGTCTTTGATTTAACTGCATTCAACTTAAACATAAATGTTTTAAAAGTTTTAGTGTATCACAGTAGACTATATATAATATATAACCATATTTAATACAGATGAGAGCATGTAGCCTACGCCTAACCAATGAGTTAATAATTTAGTCATATATATTTATGCCTAGCCTATTTAATGTTCAGCAGTGGACATGATTATTCATTAGAGATTAGCTTATTTTTAAAAATTTCAGGTTTATTTTTATTATATTATTATGCAATAATACAATCTAATAAATGTAATAAGCCAAAATGTATTAATTTACTTTGTCAAATTTTGAATTTTAAAACAGTACACTACCAAATGCTATCGGTTGAGGAACATAGAAATCCCAATATGTAGTGCCGTACACACCCCTACTAATTCTAGGCCATATATGTGGAACTATAAACACCCAAGAGTTAAGGACCAGTTAAATACAACACAAGCTGATCTGTTTTTGTACACATTACCTTGGGTTTACTGGGTAATTGTTTGTTTACAGAATGGCAACTTGACAGTAGAAGCTCACTGACACCATGGACACGACACTGCACTACACGTCCGTCAGTCACGCTGACTCGCTGATGGGCGCCATCAACAAGATGAGGCTCAACTCAGACCTCTGTGATGTGGCTGTTGTCATCGGAAACTTTCGGATTATGGCTCACAGAATTATTCTTTCTGCATCCGCACCATATTTTTATCAGGTTTGTGTTTCTATTATTAATTAGGTTTAAATTAATTCTAAAATTTAGATGACCTTACCCTGCATTTGGATGAACAATGTGGTTGATTTGATTAAGATTCAATTTACTGATCTTTTTTTAAAATCCAAAACTTTACTTCAAATGCTAGTTTAAACATGAATGTAAGTAAAATTCATACTTCACATTACTGTAAGTTCATAAGTTAATAAATTTAAAAAGTGTTACATTTTTTTTAAAACTGAATTTTGTGTGTCGCCATTAGCTCTTTCAGCCATGTCACCTACAAGCCTCCCTTAAAGAATATCACTTGGATGATATTGACGAGACGGCCGCCTTAAAAATCATTGAGTTCTGCTACACGTCCGCCATCTCGCTTGACGACGACATCGTCTGGCCACTCCTTAGTGCCGCTGACAAGCTGGACTGCGCTGAAATCTCACAGCTGTGCTGCGACTATTTGTCTTCCGCCCTGGATGCCACAAGTTGTCTTCCCATGCACAAAAAGTCGCTGCAGTTCAACTGTTCTAAGATGTTAGACAAGACCAGTCAGTTTATAGCCGATCATGCGGAACAGGTCAGTTTCTTATCCAACATTGGCTCAATATTTGTAGAGATCATAATGTCTAATCAATTGGTTTGTTCAGGCTAATTTAACTTCAGTTAGTTATTTGTAATTTGTAAATAACTTAAAAAAAATTTTTTTAATTGTTTAAAGAAATGTGTGTCTGGTCAAGTGATTAAATCGTTTGATAAAATATCCTAGACGGCCACATTAAGTGTCTTGTTTTAAACTATTATTGAAGTAGGCTAATTGTCAAAAAATTTAACATGGCCGACCATACCCTAACATGGCCCACCTTACCCTGACATGGCCCACCTTACCCTGACATGGCCCACCTTACCCTAACATGGCCCACCCTAACCTGACATGGCCCACCTTACCCTGACATGGCCCACCTTACCCTGACATGGCCCACCTTACCCTGACATGGCCCACCCTAACCTGACATGGCCCACCTTACCCTGACATGGCCCACCTTACCCTGACATGGCCCACTAAACCTAACATGGCCCACCTTACCCTGACATGGCTGCTGTTTGAGAACCACTACAAATGTTTGTTTCCATGCCCAGCTGTGTGCCAGCCCCACCCTCCACTGTCTGGCGCCACAAGAGCTGGTCACTCTACTGACCAGTCTGAGAGATGTGTCCTGGGAGGAGGACAAGTTGTTGCCCTTTGCTGTTGCCTGGCTGGACAGGAATGGTGGGAGGGGTCAAGTTGTCCGTCAGGTCAGTGGTACAGGTGTGTCAGTGTAGATGACAGGTGTGTCAGTGTAGATGACAGGTGTGTCAGTGTAGATGACAGGTGTGTCAGTGTAGATGACAGGTGTGTCAGTGTAGATGACAGGTGTGTCAGTGTAGATGACAGGTGTGTCAGTGTAGGCAACAGGTGTGTCAGTCTTGGTGACAAGTGTGTCAGTCTAGGTGACAGGTGTGTCAGTCTTGGTGACAGGTGTGTCAGTCTAGGTGACAGGTGTGTCAGTCTTAGTGACAGGTGTGTCAGTCTTAGTGGCAGGTGTGTCAGTCTTAGTGACAGGTGTGTCAGTCCTGGTGACCGGTGTGTCAGTCTAGGTGACAAGTGTGTCAGTCTAGGTGACAAGTGTGTCAGTCTAGGTGACAGGTGTGTCAGTTTAGGTGACAGGTATGTCAGTATAGGTGACAGGTGTGTCAGTTTAGGTAAATTACATGAAATCTGTCGTTTTATTTTTGTAAGATGTGATTTGTATAGTAAATAAATCAGCTTCAGGTTTTGGTTTGAAGTGGCTGACCTAGTCTCACCCTGAGCTTTGGAATCTGTTCCCCATCACAGCTATTTATAGATGTACTGATGTTAGGGGGGGGGGGTTATTGTGCATCCTGGGTATTCCTAACTTAATGACAGGAGATGAATGGTCCATGCACAGGGTACACAGTTACAAGTGGTTACCATGGTTACTATAGCAATGATTCCTGTGGTTCTATTGGTGGGGCTATTCCATTGGTTACAAATTTAAGTAGCGGAGTTTTTTCAGGGATTTAGCAAGTCTACTTTCATGTACAGCTATTAAAGTAACATCCAGCAAGTTCACCGTATACAATTTTATCCACAGTTGGTGCAAGAGTTTCCAGATTTATCAGACAAACTCCAGCACTTTCTGCGTGCTGATGGTAACATGGAGGTGAACGTTCTAGAGAACTCACACATCACTGACAATTGTAAGTTGACTTATTTGTAAGGAGAATTATAAGTTAACTATTTTTTTTAAATGAGAATTCTAAGTTGACTTTTTAAAGAGTTCAAACCCTCGGGCAGATGAGGCTCGTTAGCTGGGGACAGCCACTCTTCTAGGAAAGACAACTCCAAAATCAAACATCTGCTGCCTTGTAGTTTGTTCTTGGTTGGACAAAGGCTATGGAAGCAAATCCAAAAAGAAAAGCAGGCTGAAATCGGAGTCAATGGCCTCAATTGCGCATTACCAGTTGACACGTATACTTAATTGTGATGGAGGCGTGGTCAAGTTGGCAAAAAGCTCACGGTTGATAAATTCGAAAAAGTCTCGAGTTCAAACCCTCTGGCAGATAAGGCTCGATCCATTTCAATACTAAAAATTAAAAACGAAGAGGAAGAAGAAGTAAGTTGACTTTTTAAAAGGGAATAGTAAGTTGCCAACTTTAAGGATCGTTTTGGCTTTAATTAAAAACATTAAACTCATCAATTTACATTTTTGCTAAAAAAAAACAGGTTTATAAATGGCTGCAGTAAATGTTTCATATTTTAAAAATAAACCTTAAGATTCTGTATTACTAAATTAAATGAAAGATTTTTTTAAAATTCTAACCAATTTAAGTGCTCTGTACTTAAGGGGCGAGTATAATGAGGCAAACATTTCCTGGATGGGGTTGTTTTTTTCTGAAAAACTGTTTAGATTAACCTCCCCTTTTTAAAGTGGTACTTGTGGTTTCCTCCCCTTAAACCAGCTGTATGATCTCTTGAAGGGAAAAAACCAGCTCATTGTACAATGGTGCAGGGCTTTGAGAGGATCAAAGATCAGATAGATGTGCACAGTTTTTTTTACAAACTGTGCTCGTTAGCTTCATTTTTAAAGAGTGTCACCTAATTGAACTAGGTGACACCATTAATCTATGCCTTTATGGAAAAGTAGGCTACCTTCATAGACCTGGTATGGTAGATGAAGTAGAGTTTATCTGTTTTTGTGTGGTCACGACTAAGCCCAGCCATGTTAACCTTACTCTTGTCAGGTACTCATTAGAGCTGAGTTGGCTCAGGTAGACCTCATAGCTGGGTGTGCTCAGGGGCATCTACATGTCAGGTACCCATCAGAGCTGGTGGGCTGAGCTAAGTTCAGGTCAGGTACCTATTAGTGCTGGGTGAGCTCAGGTACCCATTAAAGCTGGTGGGCTCAAAACATTTAATTTGAAACAACTTTCAATCTCCTTGCTAGATCTCCCTTATCTGTCCTGCCAAATTTTGTATTATAAAACTACCATGAAAATAACAAACTAATTTTTTCGCTGCCAGTTGGTCAAGTGCTGACCTACAGTCACGCCATCGCTCCGGGTCCTCTTCTCTCTGACCTCAGTGGGGTCATGGAGGCGCCACTGCATGTCTGTGTCTCCTGCGGAGATGCCTTCGACACGGCGGGCGGTCTGTCCTGTCACATGCAGGTCTGTGAGGAACTGGTTCAGACCAGCAAGGAAAGACGCGGAGTCAGTGAGTCACCCCAACTACACACCACCAAGGGAAGATGCGGAGTCAGTGAGTCACCCCAACTACAGGCCAGCAAGGAAAGACGCGGAGTCAGTGAGTCACCACAGCATGAAGGTGTTGACTCTGTAGACAGCTGCAGGACCAAAGACAGCGCCAACGCTCCAGGTTCCTGCCTGTCTGACACACCAGAGAAAGGAAAAACTGTTGCGGGGGGTTGTGGTGAGGGTGTGGAAGTTGGTGTGGCTGTGGTAGATAAGCTAGACGACTCTCATTTAGCTAATACACCTGGATTAACTAATCCAAGTAATCCATTGAGATTAACTAACCCAAGTATAGTAGCTGGTTCAGCCTATCCTGGTGACTTATGTAACAAATTAAATCCTGTAACAAACAGTGGCATGGGGGTGTCACTGTCCGGTGGTGATGTCACAGTTTTCCCATCTGACAGTGACAAAGACATCATTAATAGCCAGGGTGTCAATGACACCAACAATAATGACATTAATGACATACCCAGCGGTGACGATGACTGCCAAGACAACAGTGACGATGCTAACATCGAGATTGACGTCGTTAATGATGATGGGGAAAGTGATAGCCAGTCCCCTCACAGCCAGTCCCCCCACAGACAGTCCCCTCACAGACAATACCCCCACAGACAGTCCCCCCAAAGCCCCTCCCCCATGAAACAGAATTATATTAGTTATATGACACCTATGGAGGAAACATTTACATGTAAGATATGTAAGCAGGAGTTCTGTAAGCGTAAGTCCCTGGCCAAACATTGGAGAGTTGTACACGGCTTACATCAGGACACTCAGGGAGGGGGGGAGGATTGCTCAGACCAGGAGGGAGGGGATGACGTGGGTGAGACTAAGAAGCTGAGGACAGATGAGGTGGGTCAGCTGGAGGGGTCATGTGACCCCCAGTCCAAGATGGAGGCGCTGGACCCCCAGTTCCTGATGGAGCAGTACCTTAAGCAGTACAGCCAGTTCACCAGGTGGTACGTGGAGCACGGCCTCATGTTCTGCCCTCTCTGCCTCGTCTACCATGCCAAGGGCAGCACGTGCCCTCGGGCAGACGCTGCGCCAGACGGCCAGGTGAAGCAGGTGCTAAGCAGACGTGAGGACGACCAGAGCAACTGTAAAGACGAGGACGGTCCGCTGGACATGAGTAAAACTTCGCCAACTTTTTCTTCCCCCCAGTCCAGTCACATTGGAGCCCAGCCAGGGGCAAATAACTCTTCTGCCTATGTGTCATCTCCCCTTGATATTTCTTCCTACTACACATACGCCCATATGTTGGCTACAGCAGGCAGCAGTGACAGCGTGGACAGGAACCAATACAGCCTGTTTTACCCTGATACCCAGTCGGTGTTGAGATCCATGGATTTTGCTGGAGAATCCATCTACAATCCATATCACCGGAATTCTTTGTCATCCACGTATCCACTGAGTTTAGTGTCCGAGGCCCGCACAGACTCCCCCAGTGTGTCCAGGTACCCAGCCACCCCCCAGGACTCCGGGCCCATGTACATGGCCGCCCCCCCAGGTCCACAGAAAAGGAAACTGACGTCCCGTCAAGGCTTCCCCTGCACTGTCTGTGGTAGGGTCTTCTCGTACCAGGCTGCTCTCTTCACCCACATGCGCACGCACTCGCCATCCAGCCGCACGTACGAGTGTCACCTCTGTCACCAGGTGTTTGCGCAGGCCCCAGACCTCAAGGTCCACGTATGCCCCAATGGCGTGGAGAAGCCGTACAACTGCTCCAGCTGCGGCCAGACTTTTGCCAAGAACATCCACCTGAAGCGCCACCTGGCCACCCACTCTGGACTCAAACCCTACCCCTGCTGGGTCTGCGGCAAACGCTTCAGTCGCAGTGACCACCTGAAGCGCCACACCCAGAGCATCCACGCGGGGTCAAGGCCACACGGCTGCCATCTTTGTGAGAAGGAGTTTGTCAGGAAGTACGAGCTGAACAAGCACATGCTCACCCACAGCGTGGAGAAGTTGGGGGCGGAGGGGGAGCAAAACTCTGGCGCTGGCATCACACAGGACCTTTCTGGATGGAGCACGGAGCCAGGTGTCAAAAGTTGATTTTTTTTTGGGGGGGGGGGAGGAGCTGACAAAATTTGATTTTGTTGGGGGGGGGGGGGTGCAGAAAAAAGAAAGTTAATTTTGTTAGGGGACTGCTGTGAACAGCTAGACTGGTTACAAAAACTGTCCAGTCATAGGGGGGAGGTGCCTAGCCCTGGCTCCTCTAACAGAACAACTTTACATGCTCACAGAGAAACGTCAGACAACAGCTTTACATGCATGCAGAGAAAAGTCAGACAACAACTTTACATGCTCACAGAGAAAAGAGAAAGCCATTGATAAGATAAACTACAGTTGGAGACACTCTAGGACTCAAGGGATGTTGTAACACACATTTCCTAGGACCAAAGTTGTTTTTTTTTTTAAATCAAATTTTCTTTGATTTTTATCTTCTCTTGTGCCATATCAGTTTTATAATTCAGCCTTACTGCCCAAAATAGTGTGACAGACATGACATTAAATGACCAACACAGACATGACATTAAATGACCAAAACAGACTGACATTTGACACTGCCCAAAATAGTATGACAGACATGACATTAAATGACCAACACAGACACTGACTGACCAAAATAACTGTCATTCTGATGGACATTGAACATTGCCATCATGCCACTGTTGTGTGCTACCATGCCCTGATGTCAGCAGTAGTATACTGTAATATCAGCTGTAGTATACTATACTTGGGAATGCAATATGTTGTTGTTATCATAAAACTATTTCTCATTGTTTCTAATGCAAGTTTTTTTCACCAAGTGTGGGACCCCACCTGAGAATGGGACCCCACACAAATCTGGGACCCCACTCAAATTGAGTGACAACCCAAATTTCTCAAGTTTTTGTCCCAACATTCCTAGGTCCAGATTTTGTTTTATTCCAATTTTTTTGAGAAATCTTTTTAAAATTATCTTTCAACTGTTTTCAAATTGTTGCCTTCATTAGCATAATTTGTATGCTTGATTTTAAAACTTTTTTTTCTATGTGAAAATAGTGCTTTTAAACCAAAAAAAAACCTTCTATTTAAGAGAATGCAGTGGACGATTTTTTAGCTGCATTGTGTGATTATTTGATTATGTGGTGTGTGATTATTTGATTATGTGGTGTGTGATTATGATAAATTTTCAAATATTGTTAAACAGGTATTATAAATCAGTTTTTTTATTGATATATTTCTTTCCTCAATGCTCAGTATTGAATTGTACATAGTATCATGTTTGTGTCTGTGGCTTCACATATTTCATCACATATTCCATCACAAATTTTATCACATATTCTATCCCATATTTCATCACAAATTCAGTCTATTCAGCCCTCTGCCATTGTGATGAATATTTATTATATTGTTTGTTTTTAGATTATTTATCATGGTGTAATGCTTAGATTATTAATGTTGTTAAAAGTATTTGTTATGTTTCTATGAATATTTTACATATTTATATGGAAAGTTTATTTTCCAGCCTTCTTTTTAAATGCATAATATCAGAAATTCTCTTTTTAAAATCTTCAGTATTACGCAATTTCGCCATAACCCATAACCCATCATCCACCATAACCCATCATCCACCATAACCCATCATCCACCATAACCCATCATCCACCATAACCCATCATCCACCATAACCCATCATCCACCATAACCCATCATCCACCATAACCCATCATCCACCATAACCCATCATCCACCATAACCCATCATCCACCATAACCCATCATCCACCATAACCCATCATCCACCATAACCCATCATCCACCATAACCCATCATCCACCATAACCCATCATCCACCATAACCCATCATCCACCATAACCCATCATCCACCATAACCCATCATCCACCATAACCCATCATCCACCATAACCCATCATCCACCATAACCCATCATCCACCATAACCCATCATCCACCATAACCCATCAGACACCATAACCCATCAGACACCAGTGGTAAACCTTTCAATAAAACTAAAATGTTAGACTTGTAATCAACTTGACTGAGGTGTAAAAGTCTTTCATGCCATTGGAGATTTCTGACTCAATATTTTGTTTACAACTCCTGACATTGAAGTCCTACCTGTGCAGTAGGTCTCAACCAGTTCTGTCATTTGACATCTGTCATTGAGGTCATACCTGTATCAATAGAACCATTGGCACCATTGCTGCTCTATAAGTCTATCCTATAAGTTTATACCTGTATCAATAGAACCCTTGCTGCTCTATAAGTCTATCTGCTGCCTACCAGTGTTTCTTCCAGGCATCTGTTTTCGAAATGGAATTGATATAAAAAAAATGTATACCTTTTAACAGTATCGCCCCTAGAAAATATAAAGACCAAATTGGAATTTCAATGGCAGTCCACTGTTTATATTTTATTGAACTTTAAACTTTGAAACATCAACAATTGTAGTTTAGTCCCTTTGGTCTTCAGATGGGAATGTTTTAACTACAATCTGCTACATAGGAATTGTTTTCTTTTAAATTATAATCATCATCAATTGTAATTAATGCTGTATCATTATAAACTTTTCATTAGCTTTAGGAAACCCCCCCCCCCCCCCCATAGCATTTAAAACTGAGACTTGACCTTTCACCTCTGTGCAATCACTTTTTTTTTTGTTTGGAGTTACTGCCCTTATGTTGCCTATGTCAGTATTGTCCAAATAATGTTTTCACTTGTGAGACACCCAAAGTTTACGCAGCATCTAGTCCCAGAGATATTTATCTTGCTGATGTAGGAAACACAACCAAAGTTTACACCTAGTCCCAGAGATATTTATGTTGCTGTCGTTGTAAACTTTCAGCAGACTGTTGTTACAATTTGACGTTAGTTTCTTCTGAAACTTTGTTTTGTTATTATTTAAATTTCCATCATTTTACTTTATGCATTCCATATATTCTTTCCTTAAGTCCTATATTGTATTTATTCAGTATTGTTTTATATGAATATGCTCATACATTTTGTACCCATCTCAAATACATTCAGTTTATGTTCTATTTCATATGAATGTGGTCTTTTTTTTTTGCCAATTTTGCCATCAGGGAAATTGATATTAATGACTTGATGAATTTGCTCAATTGTTAAATTAATTTGTTAATTTTTTCAATGGACTCATTGTAAGACAAAATGTGGTGTCCCCTTAATTAACTGGATTAATTAGGTTAAAACCAGTTGGACGTACACAGTCCTAAGCTGGTTATAAAATATTCTGTTAGTGTTTTATATTTAGCCTGTAGTGCTTTTTGTCCATGTGTCTGTCTGTCCACGCGTCTGTTTGTCCACATGTCTGTTGCGCTGCCTTTCTCTACAGACCATGTTCTTTCAAGTGCTCACTCTTATCATGTTTTGCTGATACTCCGCATGTTTTAAAAACATTGTTGTAGGGGGGTGGTCAATTATTTTCAAGTTTTCCAATGTGTATTTTTTAGGTTTTTAGCTTACCTTGTGTTGATGCTTAGAATTAATTTTTTCATATTCAGTAAAAAATTTTCCTCTATAACCAGTAGAAAAACATCATGGGATGCCTTCTCTGTGTCAGCTGTGGTATTGACCCAGCTGTTAAAAATAATTAATTTAAAAAATGACAAGACTTTGCTTTAATTAATTAGTTGACTATGCTTAATCTAATGAATGAATGCTTTAATTAAATAGAAACACCTGCGAGAATTGCCAATGTTGGTGTCACTAAAGACTAATGTACTCAGGTGTGTGTGTGATTTTGTGTAATACTCATCCTTTAGGGTAGTTGGCTGCTGTGGTGTCTTGTCTGATGTGATGGCTGTGGTGTGGTGGTGTCTGGAGTCTTGTGTGAGGTGTATGTGTGGTGTCTGCCTCAGTGTGTATGTATTGTGTGTATGTATTGTGTGTGTATGTATTGTGTGTATGTATTGTGTGTGTATGTATTGTGCGTGTATGTATTGTGTATGTATGTATTGTGTGTGTATGTATTGTGTGTGTATGTATTGTGTGTGTATGTATTGTGCGTGTATGTATTGTGTATGTATGTATTGTGTGTGTATGTATTGTGCGTGTATGTATTGTGTATGTATGTATTGTGTGTGTATGTATTGTGCGTGTATGTATTGTGTATGTATGTATTGTGTGTGTATGTATTGTGCGTGTATGTATTGTGTATGTATGTACTGTGTATGTATTACAACTATTCCCATACTTTCTTCACTCAGGTCCTGCTTTCATTTCAATTTTCAGCCAATCAAAAAAAATGTATTTTATTTCACATTTATTTTGTTTGCTATGTTGGCACTTTTTAAAATGATCATTGTTATACCTTGTCAGTATTTCTTTAATGACAGTGTCATGTCATTATTTATAGCATTTGATGAATGACAGTATTAGAATTATAAATATTTAAATAGATAACTGGTAACTTTTGGTTTTAAATTGACGTGATTGTGTATCACTATGGGTCGAAGAAATAAGCAGTACCATCTTTGTTCTTTGTTACCCACTTCATTAAAGGGAGAGAATTTAATCAGCATAACTCTGTATTTTTTAACTCACAAATTGATCCAAAACAAATGATTTGTTGATGTTTTCAATTGAATTTTGTATGGAGCTAGGTTTTACATTTTGCCTTGCTCTTACTGTCATTTTACATTTTTTTCAAAGAATGTTCCCGTACTTTAAAAAACTATCAAATTTCTTGTTGACAATTTGTTTATAAATTGTATTTTATATGTGCTGGTTGGCTTGCGACAAATGCTCATGAAAAAAGTTTACCTGGTTCATTGTCTGTTGACACAAAACTGTGTGTCAGTGATATTGTCAGTGCCACGGATTGTCAGTGATAATTTAATTAATCAGTGTCCAGTATTAAATTATGAGTCAGTTATTATGAAACATAAAGTTGTATCAGGAATCAAACAGTATTTTGGTTGTTTTTTTTATTTGCCTACTCCCGTCCATTACCTCCCCTTGTCCGCCCCTTGCCTCCCCTTGTCCCGCCCCTTACCTCCCCTTGTCAGCCCCTTACCTCCCCTTGTCCCTTACCTCCCCTTGTCCCTTACCTCCCATTGTCCCTTACCTCCCATTGTCCCTTACCTCCCCTTGTCCCTTACCTCCCCTTGTCCCTTACCTCCCCTTGTCCCTTACCTCCCCTTGTCCCTTACCTCCCCTTGTCCAGTCCCTTACCTCCCCTTGTCCCTTGCCTCCCCTTGTCCAGCCCCTTACCTCCCCTTGTCCCCCTCCCTTGCCTCCCCTTGTCCCCTCCCTTACCTCCCCTTGTCCCTTACCTCCCCTTGTCCCTTACCTCCCCTTGTCCAGTCCCTTGCCTCCCCTTGTCCAGCCCCTTACCTCCCCATGTCCCACCCCTTACCTCCCCTTGTCCCTTGCCTCCCCTTGTCCAGCCCCTTACCTCCCCATGTCCCACCCCTTACCTCCCCTTGTCCCTTGCCTCCCCTTGTCCAGCCCCTTACCTCCCCATGTCCCACCTCTTGCCTCCCCGTGTCCCGTCCCTTGCCTCCCCTTGTCCAGTCCCTTGCCTCCCCTTGTCCCCCTCCCTTGCCTCCCCTTGTCCCCTCCCTTACCTCCCCTTGTCCCTTACCTCCCCTTGTCCCTTACCTCCCCTTGTCCAGTCCCTTGCCTCCCCTTGTCCAGCCCCTTACCTCCCCATGTCCCACCCCTTACCTCCCCTTGTCCCTTGCCTCCCCTTGTCCAGCCCCTTACCTCCCCATGTCCCACCCCTTACCTCCCCTTGTCCCTTGCCTCCCCTTGTCCAGCCCCTTACCTCCCCATGTCCCACCTCTTACCTCCCCGTGTCCCGTCCCTTACCTCCCCGTGTCCCGTCCCTTACCTCCCCTTGTCCCGTCCCTTGCCTCCCCTTGTCCCCCTCCCTTGCCTCCCCTTGTCCCCCTCCCTTACCTCCCCCTTGTCCCTGTAGTGTCTAATGCACTGTGAACGAGCCATGAACCAAACCTATCTAGAGATGGTGGGTTTGAGTTGGCCCTAAAAAGGGCCGTTAATAAAAAAAAAATTTAGCAAATCTTCAAGTCGTGGCAGTCAACAGCGCCTATGACGTCACATCCGCAGGGGAAGTCATGCAGATATTGACCGGAAACTGCGCTGTCTGACATCGCCTGCCCCCTCTACTTGGCCGTCTGCTGGTGGCCGTCTGCTGTTGGCCGTCTGCCGGTCTAGCGGTGGCGCCCTGTCTGGTATTTTCTCTTTAAAATCACAAACCGCACTCTCCTCTTAACCCGCTTCTTCTCTGCCTTCTTCCTCGATCCTGAGGAGCTGCGGCCTGGCTTGGTGCCGTGGGGTGGGGTGGACACCCACACACTGCTGCGGTGTCGTCTGCTTTTCGGTACATTTTTCCTGCCGGTGAAGATGGGGATGCCGTCACCGAGGACGTAGCGCCCGTAGAGTCCGGCCTTGACCGCCCAGACCGGACGTGCCACGACCCCTAGCTTCAAGGCCGCGATCATGGCCTGCCGGATGTCGTTTGTTTCGTCGATGACCCCCGCGGAGCAGAGGACCTTGCGGATGTCCTTGAGACTTGACCCCCGCGGGTCGTTTAAGATGGTGATGGCGATGCTGATGAGACGTACCATGATGGCTAGCGGAAGTCCCGTCTGGCTCTCGTCTGAGCTTGCCGTCTGCTCGCTCGTGTTGTTCCTGTTGGTGTCGCCATGTTGACCTAAATTCACTCTCTGCGGCAGGACGGGAGGGACGGCTATTCCCCGGGCGGAGAACGCCGGCCTACCCCGGGAGCTGCGCGCGGGCATGACTCAAGACTGCTGGATGAGATGCGAGAGGGGGGTGGCGCCTGCACCCAGCCACAGTATGCGAACACTGAGTCCGGACCTACGAGAAAGCATCTTGTGTAAGTGCCGGTTAGGATCTAGGTTCGATCATTTTAGTTGACATGGATTTTTAAAAAAAACGTGTTAAAAAGCAATTTTATCTTTTTTTTTTTTAATTTTGCAATCAAAGCCTGAAGTAATTCAGAAATTTAATATTTTTAAAATCAATTATTTTAAAAATATTAAATACCAATCCAGAGATCTTAAAGATATTTTTTTTTGAGTTTAAGGCTTGATATCTATTTTCATCAAGCCTAAGATATAACCCGATATTTCACTTTGGTAAGACAAACATTGATTGGCTGTACAGGAACTCCGTGATCGATTTCTGACAGCCCCCCACATATCATAGTTATTTGTTTACAAAACTTTGCCGATACGAATTTTAAATAAACTTATGCTATTTTAAACCACGTGACCTAGTTCTGCCATATTTGTTTACATTTTGTATTTAAAAATAGCAGGATGTCTTAGTTCATGTCGCCATTAGCACGTGAAAACCAAATTGTTTTTATCATACAGTTATAGATCTATGTTTAGTTACCGAAAATACTAAATCGTCAAATACATCCAATCTTGACTTTATTCCGACAAATACTCAGGTATTTTAATACTTGTTGTAACCATATTCATTTAAATTACATCGCACCAGATTTTAAAAATATTCTATACCCCATTAAAAGAGATAATTCACGGCCGCCCAATTAAATAAATGTTTGGAGACATTTAACATCCGACAGACCTCAAATGTATTCACTGACGTAATTAGACTTCTATATGTGTGGTCTATTTAGTCGACGATCACGTGTGACTTGTAAAAAATTTACTTGACTTTTGTCCTTGCTTGTTACATCAGACAAGAATGATAACCAATTAATTTTAAATTAAATGAGATTAATCTGTTCGGGAATTTCAAGTTTAATATATAAATAAATAATGTATTAATTCGCTCGCAATATTGGTGACAAGCAAATTTAATTTAATTACAAATTTCTTGTAAAGTAAAATCAAAAGCCACTGGCATCAAAACCAGCTAATTAGATAATTAGTTTATTATAATCTAGTTTAAGTTATATACGAATAGTATCTCGTCAGCAGTACAACCCCATCTGTTCTGGTAAAACGTTTTTAAAGCCAAGAAAAATAATTTAACTGACGACATATAAAAAGGCATGTACTGTTATGTAGACCGATAATAAAAGTTCAGTTTCCCCAGGTAAAAAGATTAAAGCCGTGCGATGGCTTTTCTAAAGACCTTCCTCCCCCCCCCCCCCCCCCCCAACAAGCACAATCACTGATGCATCACCACCAAGCAAACGTCACCACCAACCGTTCCCGTCTGCTTCTCTGTTGGTCATCACTATGTGTGTATGCCAGGTGTGCTGACGTCATCAAATCACGTGTACTACGAGGTAAACAAGAAATGAAGTAAAAGAAAGGTAAAAACCCAATGTATCAATGCTATGGTAAGGACCCAATGTATCGATGCTATGGTAAGGACATCATGACCCAATGTATCAAGGCTGTTGTTCAACCCCCGCGGTCTATTTAAACTGACAGTTTCAGTTGTTTATGGTGGGGTATGTTGGGGGTGGGGAATGGTGAGGGTGTGCGGGGGGCGGTGCAAGGGCGCGATGTCCGTTGTAAAAATGTTATCAGCTAATTACAGCAATAAACGATAATTAGAGAAGTATACCACCCCCCCCCCCCACACACACACATACACATAACACATCTACAAACTGGAGGGGGAGAGACTAAAAAAGAAATGTCAAATAAATACCTGCTGTACATACGATTAAAACAGTCACGTGACCAGGTGTGACACTGCCAGTGATCACTTCAGTGACATGTCAGTAGTGACACCCCCCCCTCTCGTCATAACAGCCTCAGCCAGTCACGCTCCACTGATCACCATGTTAGACAACTTGAACCAATCAACGCGACGTAGTTGTGTCTAGATTCTCTGCCCCTTCCATAAGGATAACTTTCTGTTGGGACCAATTTGTGTAAGTTTTTAATTACTTAATTAGTGTATATCTTTAAATAGAGATAAATTGTTATCTTTAGAAAAGGCTACATTTAAATGTTATATTTAGCGAGAGCTAGAGTTGCACCAAATAGTTCTACAACTGGTCTCTGTAATATTTTCCTGTAAATCTAACTCAACTGTTTTTACGATTAATTTTTTTTAAATTGACTTGACGGAAGACACAGCTGTTTTAATGTAGGGTAGAGTAGTTGCTAATTATAACATTGCAATCAGTGCTAATCAAAAACTAATCTAACACTAATCAAACACTGTCATATTTTTTAAAAATTTGCGACCTACACACTTCTCATCTGTCTAATTACACTAGTAAAATGAAAACGACTTGACAATGAATTAGACTTATGTTTCAACATCGCCGACATCTAATAAGTGGTGTAAGGGTTCGCCTACAGGGGGTGTTGTGGCGGTGTGTGACGATGGGGGGGGGGGGTAAGAAAGTGTACACTCACATTATAAAAAATAAATAGGTATTTCTTGAGCTGAATGTTATTAGGATTTGCACATTTTCCAAAATCTTTTTTTTTTTTGTAATTTTTTTTTGAAAATTAAAATCAATACAAAGTAATTTTACCATCAGCTGTTTTCATCTTAGATCATCTACTAACCCAATGTTACCGGTAATTAAAGTATTTCAATTTGTTACTCAAGGGAGGCTACTCAATTAATATTTTTGCAAATCATCATTGCTTGGTTATATCCCCTTACAAAATAAAATGTGGTATGAGTGCGGTGGGCTAACTAAAGTGTGACGTCATTATATTTATATGGGGCTATTACTTATTACAACCAGGGAGAGGGAAAACGGCAAAAAACTTAACATCATTGGCAGACATTTCATGATTTATGGACAACCATTTCATGATTTATGGACAACCATTTCATGATTTATGGACAACCATTTCATGATTTATGGACAACCATTTCATGATTTATGGACAACCATTTCATGATTTATGGACAACCATTTCATGATTTATGGACAACCATTTCATGATTTATGGACAACCATTTCATGATTTATGGACAACCATTTCATCATTTATGGACAACCATTTCATGATTTATGGACAACCATTTCATGATTTATGGACAACCATTTCATGATTTATGGACAACCATTTCATGATTTATGGACAACCATTTCATGATTTATGGACAACCATTTCATGATTTATGGACAACCATTTCATGATTTATGGACAACCATTTCATGATTTATGGACAACCATTTCATGATTTATGGACAACCATTTCATGATTTATGGACAACCATTTCATGATTTATGGACAACCATTTCATGATTTATGGACAACCATTTCATGATTTATGGACAACCATTTCATGATTTATGGACAACCATTTCATGATTTATGGACAACCATTTCATCATTAATGGACAACCATTTCATGATTTATGGACAACCATTTCATGATTTATGGACAACCATTTCATCATTAATGGACAACCCTAAAGTAGAATCCCGGGAGAATGAAAGAGTGTATACATGTAGGTTCGGGTTTAGACCTTTCGATGTAGACGTGTAGGTCTGGGTTTAGACCTTTCGATGTAAACCAGCGCCACTTAAAATACTACATGTTTCCACTCTTGTAATACCAAGTTCAAAAGTCAGTCACAAATATGTAAACCAGAATTTTATAATTAAAATTTTATTTGTGTTCTGTTAGAGTAAGACAGGTACGAATATTGATTGGCTGCTGGGTCCTCACTCGCGTTATGGGGGGGGGGGATTCGTTTTTAACACAATGGACGATTTAATTTAATTATATTTGACGTAATTATCCCCCGATGTGACAATGTTCTGGTGTAAAGTAACAATTGTTTGAATTCTGTGTAGGCCCAGCACATAGGCTGTATTTACACCCTTCTCACGTGACAATACACCAGACGGGTTTAGACCTGCTAGACTACTCACCTTCAAGGCTCTCACGTGCAGCAACTTACACTCAACACTAGCCTGGGAACACTGACGTCTAGTCCTGATTCAACATTCGAACCGTGACGTCACGAGGGCGCCGAGACATTGGTGACGTGACTGTCACATCCAGCTGGTTTAGACAACTCGACACGCCCTGGGTAGACCTACGATGAAACCTCGAGTTGTCTCCTCTGCTAGTAAGCCGGGAATTACAGCTCCTGGTAAAATATCGGCTGCCTCCTTTTTCTTCCTCCCGCCCAATCGCTTCACGCCGTACTACCACCTGCTGGATCCTGACGACTCGGGGGATGACGAGGATTCCAGCGGTGATGACGTCATCGTCACTGACCAATACGGGGAGAGGTCAACTCTTGAAAATACTCACATCAAAAGGTACGTGGGTCTGTCTATAGAGATTATCATATAATATAGACCTTAATACATACATACAAAGTATATATATATATATAAATAAATATATATATATATATATATATATATATATATATATATATATATATATATATATATATATATATATATATATATATATATATATATATGCCAGCATTACCCAGAGAACAGATGCCAGAACTACCCAGTCACAAGTTGCCACAAGTACACCAACACGATGGCCACAAGTTGCCTGGGCCAACATGTTCTCTTGGAGGGAGCTCTTCCCCGCCCACGGGCTCAATGGTGAGGTTTGGGGGAGTGTTGTGGGGGAGGTGAGGGTGGGCGTATGTGTGGTGTGTGGGTGTGGTTTGAGGGGGGAGGCTAGGGTGGTCATATGTTGTGTTTTTGGTGTGCTACCTCGAGGGGTGGGATGTGTAGTGTGTTACCACGAGGAGTTGGGTGTGTAGTTTGCTGCAGTGTAGCAGTGTTGAAACGTCATTACATCTGTTTCCAAACATTTCAGGCATATGGATGGATTACGTCATGTTAATTAGTCAAGTCATGTCGTGTGTCATTTATGTCATAAATACTTCAGTCAATGACAAATACAAGCTTCAATGGTAAGTGTTTGATTTTTTTGTTTTATTATGTTAATTACTATGCTAATTAATGTAATCACTTAGTCAATACAACAAACAATTAGAGTTTACTGGCCCCAGGTTTTATGTAGTGTGTGATTAGCAGAAAATTTGCTGGTGTGTGTTTTCTACTAAATGGAGTTTGTGACGAAATGACATTTTTTGTTGACATGTGTTCTCTGAGAAGTAGGTCAAACCCGGACAGCTGTCAGGGGACGGGAACCCTTGGGGAGACGGCCATGTAAGATACTCGTCATGTTTCTAGAACTTTCTCCAGACTAGATAAAATAACGCATGCTGTGGTATTTTGTCGACATATTATATGAACTAACGAATCTCTAATCAACTAAAGTATAAACTTTATCTTTCATGGATTCTAATCTGGTTACCATGGCAACAGGACTGGTTGGATGTGGGTACAGAGAGGTTGGTGGGCGTGGCTGGCGGAAGTGACCTTGGCCTTCACGGTCATCAGTTTAACCATCGTGAAGTCTGTCGCAGCTAAAGTAAGTACAAGGCTCTAACCTGTGCTATCTTAGCTCTAAGCTGTGCTAATTATCTTAGCTCTAAGCTCTGCTAATTATCTTAGCTCTAAGCTCTGCTAATTATCTTAGCTCTAAGCTCTGCTAATTATCTTAGCTCTAAGCTCTTTTAATTATCTTAGCTCTAAGCTCTTTTAATTATCTTAGCCCTAAGCTCTGTTATCTTAGCCCTAAGCTCTGCTAATTATCTTAGCTCTAAGCCCTGTTATCTTAGCCCTAAGCTCTGCTAATTATCTTAGCTCTAAGCTCTGCTAATTATCTTAGCTCTAAGCGCTGCTAATTACCTTAGCTCTAAGCTATGCTAATTATCTTAGCACTAAGCTCTGCTAATTATCTTAGCTCTAAGCTCTGCTAATTATCTTAGCCCTAAGCTCTGCTAATTATCTTAGCCCTAAGCTCTGCTAATTATCTTAGCCCTAAGCTATGCTAATTACCTTAGCTCTAAGCTATGCTAATTATCTTAGCACTAAGCTCTGCTAATTATCTTAGCTCTAAGCTCTGCTAATTATCTTAGCCCTAAGCTCTGCTAATTATCTTAGCACTAAGCTCTGCTAATTATCTTAGCTCTAAGCTCTGCTAATTATCTTAGCTCTAAGCTCTGCTAATTATCTTAGCACTAAGCTCTGCTAATTATCTTAGCTCTAAGCTCTGCTAATTATCTTAGCACTAAGCTTTGCTAATTATCTTAGCTCTGAGCTCTAGAACATATCCTTGCTCTTAACTCCTGCCTTAGCTCATTTTTACAAGATAAGCTGTTTTAAGGTCAGCTCATCTTTCTGCTTGCAGGGTGAAAGGTCAAGTGAGAGGTCATGGAAGACCTTGTGGCAGCTCTGTCTACTGCTGGCAGCGTATGGTCCGCTCCTGGCGTCTGTAGGTCTCTCTGTCTGTCTGCTCACGTTTTGTCTGCACGTGCATAAATCTTGTACAGACGTCTTAACGTCTTGAAGCCCATCTAAACAGACGTGAAAAACCCGTTTCAAACCAACGCTGATACATTAGCCCATGACAAAAGGACCTAGGTCAAATTACCCCCACAATAGTCCCCACACTAACCGTGCCAAAAAATCAACTGATGAAATAAAATATTTTCAGGAAACTTATTTACACAGCACTTTTATCGTAGGCCCTTTAGACGGGGAACAGTTGTGTCACCATCTAAAATTAGGGTTAAATTCTTGAGGGGTGGGGGGAGAATGTTCGGCATATTTTCAACTTGTGAAGTAACCTTGACCTTTTGCTGCAGGTCGTTTGTCCCACACAGCTGAAGGTCATGTTTGCTCCCGTGTTCCTGGCTAGCTGGGTCATCAAGGACACGTGCAGGGACATATTCGTGAGTAGTTCACACGTCATTGTGACATCATGGTAATGTTTGTGAGTGGTTCCCACGTGACTGTGACGTCATAAAAATGTGTTGTGTCCTCAAGTTTTAAAACGCCTTGCTTGAAACTTTTTGTTCAACTCTGTGCAGGCCACTCACAACACCAGGGCTCTCTCAAGGCGCGGGTTCGAATCCAGGCTGGTCAGAGTGGTGCAGGAGGTTGTGGTGCTGATGGTGATGGTGCTGTCGCTGGTGTTTATCTGGTGAGTCAGGGGTTGGTCAGTTGGTGGTTAGTATGTCAGTCAGTTGTCAGTATGTCAGTCGGTGGTCAGTCGGTGGTCAGTATGTCAGTCAGTTGTCAGTATGTCAGTCAGTATGTCAGTCGGTGGTCAGTATGTCAGTCGGTGGTCAGTATGTCAGTCGGTGGTCAGTATATCAGTCGTTGGTCAGTATGTCAGTCGGTGGTCAGTATGTCAGTCGGTGGTCAGTATGTCAGTCGTTGGTCAGTATTTCAGTCGGTGGTCAGTATGTCAGTCGGTGGTCAGTATGTCAGTCAGTTTTTGATATGTCAGTCGGTGGTCAGTATGTCAGTTGGTGGTCAGTATGTCAGTTGGTGGTCAGTATGTCAATTGGTGGTCAGTATGTCAGTTGGTGGTCAGTATGTCCGTCGGTGGTCAGTATGTCAGTCAGTTGTCAGTATGTCAGACTTCATCAGCTACAAGTTACAAATATGTGATTTGCTTCTAACTAACCAGACATGTGATTTGCCTCTAACCATATGTAAACTTTCTCCAGCGCGTGCCTCGTCCACCACGCCCACTCCCCCGGCCCGCCCCTGACCTTATGCCAAACCCTGACTAGGGTCACCACAACCTTCCTGACCGCAGGGTTGGCAGGCGACGTCCCTCTCTTTGACCGATGCGTCATGATCGTCTTCATCTTGGTTGCCTTGGTTACCGTACCCAGTCAGGTGAGGCTATAATTTACATTTGTTTCTACAAGGGACATAACCGCTGTTTTGTGGTGTCAATTTTATATTACTTTGTTACCTCCCTTGCACTAGAAATTTTTGCAAAAGCAAAAATTTTATTTTTAGCGCAATTTCCATACTGGCAATTGCGTTTAATAATGCGTCATTTCTGGATGGATGGATGTGTGGATGTGTGTCCGCAGCTTTAAGTCGTATCTCCTCCTCAACGAAGCAATATCGAGGACTAGTTCCAAAGCAAATATGTTAAGCAAGTTCCGAGGATGATTGTGGGCCAAAAAAATTCCCGGAATTCCTTCCTGGATTTCCCGGAAAAGCCAAAAAACCTAAAAAAAGATGCAGTTTTTTGCCCATATCTCGGCAACCAGACCACTTAGCGACTTGAAACATTTACCAATCGATTCCTGCCATAATTTAGAACAATATTGCCGAAGAAAGTTTTCAAAAATATCCTTTCGGTCACAAAATTTTTTTTTAAAATTACATAAATACCCACAAACCGATCGTTCTCCTAGCTTGAACGCACCCCAGCATTATACGTCTTTGTGATCACTATCTATTTTTAGATAACATAAGGAAATTGCGCTTAAATTGTCACTAGACTTTTTATTAACTTGTTTATTTAGACGAGTGCTGTTGGTAGTGAGGTAGTTGGTAGTGATGTTGCTGGTAGTGGTGTAGCTACTGGTTAACAACGTGACGGTTAGTTTCTCCTAATTTACGTTTTTTTTTCGTGTCAGGTGGAGGCGGTGGTCAGGTCATGTACTGATGACGTCATTCACGATGTCCAGCAGCCGTGTCGTCCGGACAGGTCAGTTGTCGTCTGCGGTGGGAGCTTGACTCATGACGTCATCGCACTGTTTCTACGCGAGTTTTCATCCAAAGACGAGGTCAATTTTTCTCTACCACTGTCTACCAGTTACCTCCCAGTGACCCATTCTTCTCTCCAAGCTCTCCCCCCCTCCCTCCCCCCTCTCTGTTTCTCCCCTAGCTCACCCTCCTCTACCCTCCTTTCCCTCCCCTTATCAAGTTTTTAATCTCATCTCTAGAGTTCCAGTGTGGCCTTCCTGTGTTCAAATGACCTTGACCCCGACGCTTATCACGTCCTGAACGACCCGAGGTGGCGCCACCGTGTGACGTCCGTCACAGGGAGTTGTCTCAAGGACGATGACCTTCAACTTTGTGGTGTTGACCAATCATCGGCGTGTTTCATTCTGGCCGCACGTGATGCTAAAAATAAACAACAGGCTGTGAGTGCTTTACATCACTCGTTCCTACTACAATAACACCAACAACTCCAACACCAACAACACCAACACCAACTACACCAACAATACACAATAAACACAAGTAAACATACAACTAAAGACATACTAACTATCCCACTAAAAATACACTCCATGTCACCGTGACCTCATATGTCACGTGACCTAGATAAAATACTGTTGTTGTCAGCAGGATAGTCAGACAGTGATTCGATCCTGGGCCGTTCACGAGTTCGCCCCTCACTGTCCGCAGTTTGTTCAACTTTTTCACTCGGCAAATCGGAGTCACCTCGACTTTCTTGGTGAGTAAAATTTTATCGGTTGTAGCCCTTAGAAATTAACACAATTTTATTGGTCATGTGTCCCACCCCCCCCCCCGTCCCCCCTTTAATCTGTGTGTTGAATTTTGTCTTGTGTGTTGACTTCAACTGACCGTCCCCCGCCCCGCCCCCCCCCCCCCCCCACCTCTACTCCACCAGATCAAGTCGTGTGTCACGATGACCTGACCCCCGCCCTCCTGGCTAAAGTCTGCACGTGCCCAGGTCTGCTCAGCCTTGTCGCTCAACTCGTGGCATCTCCTGGACCAAAGTAAACAACCTGTTGTCATGGCAACCATCTATACTGTCTTATCACATCTTTTGTATTCATCATGTAATTAAGCGTTCTTCTTTTTGTCTGAGAATTTAAGTCTGTTTTTTCTCTAATTCTTTCAGCCAATCACAGGATGAGTTACATCCAGCCAATCAAATCTCGCGTCACATCGGCCTGCGTCACACAAAGGTGGAGAAGAGTCAGATCTTTCAGCGTTACGAGGACTACGCCTTCAGCGAGGCGTCAGCTGACGCTTATGCCAGGCGAGTCATAAAGACAATCTTTGATTGCGGACAATGACGCGACACGTCACGTGAATGTTACAAAATGTTACGTGAATGTTACAAAATGTTTACCCCAATTTTACATCACGTAAATCACAGCTCGCTGTCGATCACAAAAACTTTTTTATTTGTTTTTTTTTTCTTTAGTCACGGCGTCTGTTTGCTTGCTGTTGTCGATAAAAATTCTTCGCCGCCTCGCTTGGTTTTGAACCCTGGACCTAGCTATAACCTGCAGGTGAGTGAGATAAATGGGGTCGACTTACTAGTACGGGGAGGGGTGGACTGGCCGCAGGGACCTGCCCAGTCTACTCCCATACACGAATCAGGCAGAACTATTTTTTTTTCTCAGCATTGCAACAAGAATTTAGTGTAAACTGTCACAAATATAAACAGCATTGTGTTAAACTTTCTGACTACCACAAGTTTTGTTTTTCTATTACAAGCACAAGCACCATTATTTTAAAGTTTCTAGCTCGAAAATTGAACAAACAGACCAACAAAAAATGTGGACCTTCTGGTCCTTGTTTTAACAAAACTTTGCAACAAATTCTATAACATTTGAACGGTTATAAGAATACCAAACATAAAGTTGTTGACAAGTTTTATCAAATCAAAAACTGTCAAACCGACTTTTTTTAAAAAATCCATAATGATAATTAAAAACCAATCACCTCCTACAAACAAACGTATGTAATTTATGACGTCAGGTTTTACATCGTCTGCTAGGCTAACGACACGTGCGTGTATCTGAGTGCTGGGACTGGCGGGGCAGACGACGAGGGTGAGCAAACATGTTTTATGTGTGTTTTCATCACCCCCCCCCACACACACAAACACTTTACAGATAAAAGTACACACTTCTTGTGTTCAATTGGAAAGATTTTAATATTTGAAATTTAATCAATTTTAAATCAATGTTTTTTTTTTCAGAACAATCAAGCTCTGTATTTTACGTCAGTCATTCGTCTGCCGGTCAATCAGCCGGTCAGTCAGCCGGTCAATCAGCCGGTCTGTCAGCCGGTCAGTCAGCCGGTCAGTCAGCCGGTCAATCAGCCGGTCAACCAGCCGGTCAATCAGCCGGTCAATCAGCCGGTCAATCACCCGGTCAGCCAGCCGGTCAATCAGCCGGTCAATCAGCCGGTCAATCAGCCGGTCAATCAGCCGGTCAATCAGCCGGTCAATCAGCCGGTCAATTCCCCGATCAGCCAGCCGGTCAGTCAGCCGGTCAATCAGCCGGTCAATCAGCCGGTCAGCCAGCCCGTGTTACAAAAAGGTGAGAACTAAGTGGTGTTTCATCAACTGACCACACGGACTACGTCAAGTTTTTTGTGTTCAAGTGTTAAAATAAAACAAAAACAACACACACACACAAACTTAATGACAAAAAAGTGTTTAAAAAAACATTTGACACTTCCCCTATAGTGACTTCTACATTTGTGTCAAACCCTTAACATCCTGTTTCTAATCAGCGGAAATTGCTCCAATTAAAATTGTTAATTGCTAATCAAATTCTAGGGAGGAGGACAACAGTGGCAGACGTCAAGAACCAACGCTGAGCTTGTCACGTGTCTACTCGTCACGGACCAATCAGAATGTCGCACGGAAAATGTGTTGTTTATATCTAGATCAGGTAAACAAAGGGTTTGATGACGGTTTTTTGTTTGTTGCTTTTTTTTTTGGCCAGGTTATAGTCGGCAGTTATGTTACCTGGCTAGGGCTTAACCCTAACCCTAGGGCTAGCTGTATGTCTGTATGTATGGCTGGCTGTCTGTATGTATGGCTGGCTGTCTTGCTCTATGTATAGCTGTATGTATGTATGGCTGTATGTATGGCTGAATGTCGACCTTGACTTAGGACTACATGTGTGGCTACAGACAGCAATACTTACAGTTTAATTAATGACGTCATGTTTAGAATCACTCTGACATTGCCCTCTTTTAACCGTGACCCTGACCCACATAATGATGACCTTGACCCATACACTGTTCCTACCAGAAATGCCATCACACGCGCGAGAGCATGACGTCACATCCGAGATGGGCCCGGCCTGCTGTCGTCATGGCAACCAGACGGTTTACAGACGGCGCCTGGAACCTTCTACGTCATCTGTCACGTGACCCATCCACCGGCCCTGTCGTGGCCATCTTCTCAGAGAGGTCAGTCATAAGTCAGTCATAAGTCAGTCATGTCAGTCATAAGTCAGTCATAAGTCAGTCAGTCATAAGTCAGTCATAAGTCAATTATAAGTCAGTCATAAGTCATTCATGTCAGTCATAAGTCAGTCATAAGTCAGTCATAAGTCAGTCATAAGTCAGTCATAAGTCAGTCATTAGTCAGTCATTAGTCAGTCATCAGTCAGTCAAAAGTCAGTCATAAGTCAGTCATAAGTTAGTCATAAGTTAGTCATAAGTAATTCATAAGTCAGTCATGTCAGTCGTAAGTCAGTCAGTCATAAGTCAGTCAGTCATAAGTCAGTCAGTCATAAGTCAGTCAGTCATAAGTCAGTCAGTCGTAAGTCAGTCAGTCATGAGTCACTATAAGTCATCTTGACAAGTCCGACATCTATTTTAATAAGTCTGGTGTTCAATCATTTTAAGACAATTAAATGAATCATGAAGTTGACTTAATAACATGACTGACGTACTTAACCTTTCTTTCCTCAGGCCAAGCGACCTTGACCTTGGCCGCCTACTGATATTACCGATGGTTTTTATATCAGTTGCCGCCCCTGAAAGGTAACTTTCTTTCTTCAAGCCTAGTTCAAAGGTCACATAACTACTGACATAGGACATATAACTAAAGACGCAGGACACAGAACTAAAGACACAGGACACGTAACTAAAGACACAGGACACATAACTAAAGACACAGGACACATAACTACTGACATAGGACATATAACTAAAGACGCAGGACACAGAACTAAAGACACAGGACACATAACTAAAGACACAGGACACATAACTAAAGACAGAGGACATATAACTAAAGACACAGGACACATCAGAATAGATAAAACTACGGTACAACTAGACACACATAAGTATTCCCCCACAAACACACATTCCACCTTTCACACACCCACAACACCCGTCCCCCACACTCAGAGGCGTAGCGAGGGAGGGGCGGGGGGTGACATATGCCCCCGGGCGCAGACCTTAGGGGGCGCCAAGACGGGTTGGAAAAATAAATTGAAAGCTTGAGGGGAGGGGTGGAAATAGAAATCTTGAGGGGGGGAGGGGATGCAAGTCGAAAATTTGTCCCCGGGAAGGGTCGCTACGCCTCTACCCACACTAACCACACAACCAGCCATACCAGTGACATATTGCTTTTTCGTCCTTGGCCCCTAGTGTCGCAGATCTGCTGAAAGCGGAAGTGAAAACTGTCGGCCATTTTGTTGTTTACTCTGACGTAACGGAACATGACGTCACCATTGCAGACTTGGAGACCATTTCCGTAATAGAGATGGTGAGACGGTAAGTCACGTGGTGAGACGGTAGGTCAAGTGGGGAGACGGTAGGTCATGTGGTGAGACGGTAGGTCATGTGGTGAGACGGTAGTTCACATGGTGAGACGGTAGGTCACAAAGTGAGACGGTAGGTCATGTGGTGAGACGGTAGGTCACATGGTGAGACGCTAGGTCATGTGGTGAGACGGTAGGTCATGTGGTGAGACGCTAGGTCATGTGGTGAGACGGTAGGTCATGTGGTGATACGGTAGGTCACATGGTGAGACGGTAGGTCACATGGTGAGACGGTAGGTCACATGGTGAGACGGTAGGTCATGTGGTGATACGGTAGGTCACATGGTGAGACGGTAGGTCACGTGGTGAGACGGTAGGTCATGTGGTGAGACGGTAGGTCATGTGGTGAGACGGTAGGTCACATGGTGAGACGGTAGGTCACAAAGTGAGACGGTAGGTCATGTGGTGAGACGGTAGGTCATGTGGTGAGACGGTAGGTCATGTGGTGAGACGGTAGGTCACATGGTGAGACGATAGGTCACATGGTGAGACGGTGGGTCTCGTGGTGAGACGGTAGGTCATGTGGTGAGACGGTAGTTCACATGGTGAGACGGTAGGTCACAAAGTGAGACGGTAGGTCATGTGGTGAGACGGTAGGTCACATGGTGAGACGGTAGGTCACGTGGTGAGACGGTAGGTCATGTGGTGAGACGGTAGGTCATGTGGTGAGACGCTAGGTCATGTGGTGAGACGGTAGGTCATGTGGTGATACGGTAGATCACATGGTGAGACGGTAGGTCATGTGGTGAGATGGTAGGTCACATGGTGAGACGGTAGGTCACATGGTGAGACGGTAGGTCACATGGTGAGACGGTAGGTCATGTGGTGATACGGTAGGTCACATGGTGAGACGGTAGGTCACGTGGTGAGACGGTAGGTCATGTGGTGAGACGGTAGGTCATGTGGTGAGACGGTAGGTCACATGGTGAGACGGTAGGTCACAAAGTGAGACGGTAGGTCATGTGGTGAGACGGTAGGTCATGTGGTGAGACGGTAGGTCACATGGTGAGACGGTAGGTCACTATGTCACATGGTGAGATGGTAGGTCACATGGTGAGACGGTAGGTCACGTGGGTGGTATTTGGGGCTGTAATTTGTAATTTTTGCGGTATTTACCAATCTATGTGTTAAATTTGGTAAAGCATATTCTTTGTGTGTCAGGCTATTACATGAAGCAAACAGATCTTACAATTACATACCACTGTAGGCAAATCTTTTCAAACCTCACCTCTTTCCAAAACAACCTGTCTACTGATGAATGATGAATCTGTTGTTGTTTTTTTTTCAGGGAATTCCCACAAACCTGTGGGGTAGCTAACCTACACAGGTCATCCAGTTTTGGGTTACTTCGTTCATTTTCATTGGATGACTTAAGTCAGGTGACTGGGAAATATTTTTTTTCAGACAATACATAGCTTTCACCTGTAGATTAAATAAACAAGAAACTTTTTTTTTATTGTAGAGACACTTAAAGTAAAGTCCTATTGAACTACTGCGTTAACTAGATACATTTTTTCTTATGACACAACAGCAAGGGGGCACGACTCAACAACAAGGGGACAGAACTCAACAACAAGGGGACGCAACTAAGCAACAAGGGGACAGAACTCAACAACAAGGGGCTGCGACTGTAAATAGAAGTCCAGTTATTTCCCTTTCAAACTGTCAACTTTTCTCGTGTGAGCTGTTGGACCAGGTTTTGTACCAGGTAAAGTTGTACCAGGTAAAGTTATACCAGGTAAAGTTGTACCAGGTAAAGTTATACCAGGTAAAGTTGTACCAGGTGTTGTACCAGGTAAAGTTGTACCAGGTAAAGTTGTACCTGGTAAAGTTGTACCAGGTAAAGTTGTACCTGGTGTTGTACCAGGTAAAGTTGTACCAAGTAAAGTTGTACCAGGTAAAGTTGTACCAGGTAAAGTTGTACCAGGTAAAGTTGTACCAGGTAATGTTGTACCAGGTGTTGTACCAGGTAAAGTTGTACCAGGTAAAGTTGTACCAGGTAAAGTTGTACCAGGTAAAGTTGTACCAGGTGTTGTACCAGGTAAAGTTGTACCAGGTAAAGTTGTACCTGGTAAAGTTGTACCTGGTAAAGTTGTACCAGGTAAAGTTGTACCAGGTAAAGTTGTACCAGGTAAAGTTGTACCAGGTAAAGTTGTACCAGGTAAAGTTGTACCAGGTAATGTTGTACCAGGTGTTGTACCAGGTAAAGTTGTACCAGGTAAAGTTGTACCAGGTAAAGTTGTACCAGGTAAAGTTGTACCAGGTAAAGTTGTACCAGGTGTTGTACCAGGTAAAGTTGTACCAGGTGTTGTACCAGGTAAAGTTGTACCCGATGAAGTTGTACCACGTGATATGTGGCTATGACACTTCAATGATCATTAACATTCCCCACCCCCCCCCCCCCCCCAACCCGACATATAATTCATCCCATTAACACAAACTCAGCTTCACCTTTCTGCACTCTGAAACCCCACACTTGTATAACCCCACACTTTTATAACCCCCACACTTGTATAACCCCCACACTTGTATAACCCCCACACTTTTATAACCCCCACACTTTTACAACCCTCACAATTGTATAACCCCCACACTTTTTACAGAGCTATTTCAGCAGACACCTCTTGTCGTTCCTGCGACATTTGCTGGACATTGGAGACACGACTGGACATTTGCACTGTGTGAGTATCGCTGTATTAGGGGTCGGGCTTTGGGGGTTGATCTAAGGGGGTCGGGATATAGGGGTCGTGCTATGGAGTTGATCTAAGGGGGTCGGGCTATGGGGTTGATCTAAGGGGGTCGGGCTATGGGGTTGATCTAAGGGGGTCGGGATATAGGGGTCGGGCTATGGGGTTGATCTAAGGGGGTCGGGCTATGGGGTTGATCTAAGGGGGTCGGGATATAGGGGTCGGGCTATGGGGTTGATCTAAGGGGGTCGGGCTATGGGGTTGATCTAAGGGGGTCGGGATATAGGGGTCGGGCTATGGAGTTGATCTAAGGGGGTCGGGCTATGGGGTTGATCTAAGGGGGTCGGGATATAGGGGTCGGGCTATGGGGTTAATCTAAGAGGGTCGGGCTATGGGGTTGATCGAAGGAGGTCGTGTAATGGGGTCGGACTAAGGGGCTTGGACAGGGGGTTAAACTAAAGGGGGTCGGACTATAGGATTGAAGTAAGGGGGGGGGGGGTCGGATATTGGGGTTGAATTAAGGGTCAGAATGAAATACTGGGAGACCCCATACGCTTGTGATCAATGAAATAAAGATCAATACAAAAATCAATCACTGTCCTTTGTCTTTAAAGGTGACGCTAACTTCAGAGATGTGCCTAAATAGTCCATGCTACGGCGATCTGTACAGAGAGTTTTCGCTAACTCACGGGGAAATCCCTTTTGCTATTTATAGACCTACAGGACCAGACGATATATTGGAAGATGGACCTCCAGAGGTTTGTGTTTGTTCGTTTGTTTGTTAGATCATGTGTTTGTTTGTTTGTTAGAGCATGTGTTTGTTTGTTTCTTAGAGCATGTGTTTGTTTGTTTATTTGTTTGTTTGAGCGGTTTTTTTTTGTTTGTTTGAGAATTTGTTTTTATTTTACAAATTCGGCGTTGTATTTGTGCCGTGATTATTCCGTCGATGTTTAGTATCGTTCTGATTTTATGAGGAATCTATTCCTGTTTAGCCAACAGACTCGAACACCTCACGTGACGTGCTTGTTACGTCATCAGTAGAACTTGCTGAACTCACAGACGAATGTCACTTGAACGCTAAATGTCAGATGTCAGACAAAGCTGAACACGGCGTGACATTTAACGACATTGGTGAGTGACAACTAAAAGTATAACAATCTCTGAATACTCTAGGTTTGGTCCAGTTTAGGTCCAGCTTTCTTGCAATAACAATTGAGTCTAAAACGTATTTGTGTTTTGTTGTTTTTTTAAACAGAAGAGCTGAGAAAGGGGCAGACAACTCGCACAAATGTTTGGCTACATCCGGGGTCCAAGGTCCAGCTCCGACCTGGTGATATTGTGTGAGTTGTTTCCCTTTTGTTCTTAGGTCCATGGGGAGGTAACTCTAGCAGATTTGATCAGGGAGGTAACTCTAGCAGATTTTATCAGGGAGGTAACTCTAGCAGATTTTATCAGGGAGGTAACTCTAGCAGATTTTATCAGGGAGGTAACTCTAGCAGATTTTATCAGGGAGGTAACTAGCAGATTTTATCAGGGAGGTAACTACCAGATTTTATAAGGGAGTTAACTCTAGCTAATTGTGTGTGTCCTGCTTAAGTCTAAAGAGCAGACGATAAGTTTTACACCTGCCCGCCACGCCACTAGCCAGTAATCTAATTTAGTCTAACCACGTTCTGAGTAAAATGAGTACGCTTTAATTTACGTGTTTAATCTGATGAAGGCCTTATGTCGTAACGTAAGTTATATTTTTTTTTACTATTGCAATGAGCTCTGATGTGTTTTAATTTTTTTCACAAAACTTTTTTTTCACGTTCTCAGTTTCCTCATCAGAACACGGTGACGTCATTCAGGGTTGTGTGACGTCATGAGACACAGACTGCCATGAACCACGTGACGAGACTTGTAACAATTAGTTCTGGCAATAATTTGTTGTTGTTGTTTTTTGTGAGCTTGGTTTAATGCATGTGACCTTAGTGTGAACTTGAAACAGCTATGTTGTTTATTTTAAAAATTCACATTAAAAATATGTTGGTGACCACTTTCTCATCTTTTCTGTTGTGTTTGTTTGTCTTGGCTCGGCTACTTTGTGCTGTATTATATTTGTCCTGGGCTACTTTGTGCTGTATTATTTGTCCTGGACTACTTTGTGCTGTATTATTTGTCGGCGACTACTTTGTGCTGTATTATTTGTCCTCGGCTACTTTGTGCTTACGTCCGTGTTTACTGTATTGAACAACACTTGTTGCAAGCTGATGGTCAAATCTCCAGAATCCACAAGATGGTGTTAGGTCACCGAGTCACAAGTTAGGTCACTGGGCGACGTGTGACAGATTTTCGTGACTTGAGACCATCAATGTGACATCATTAACTGACGTGAGTGACGTCACATTGATTTCTGGAACAATACCTGCGGGTCTGGCTGGAGTTCAGGCATTGTTGGCCGTGAGAAGGTGGGCAATTTAATTTGTTTTCTTTCTTTGTTTTCTTTGCTTTGTTTTCTTTGTTTTGTTTGTTTTCGTCCTTTGTTATTGTGGAACAATGGGTGGTTGTGTCGGGCGGTCGTTAATGACACGATTAGCATAACTTCAGGCGGAGGTAACTGGTGAGTTGTTCTCAGGCAGGTGGTGTGTTGTGGGCTGGGTGCTGTTGTGTGTTGATGGTGTGTTGTGGGCTGGGTGCTGTTGTGTGTTGATGGTGTGTTGTGGGCTGGGTGCTGTTGTGTGTTGACGGTGTGTTGCTTGTTTCGTGTGTATTACCTGTGTGTTGTGTGTTGTAGGGGTAGTGTCGAGGTGGGGGTGATAGGGGTAGGGGTATTGTGGGTGTGGGGTTGGTAGATGTAGTGTGGGGTGACTGTGTGGTAGGTGTAGTGTGGGGGTGGCTGTGTGTGGTAGGTGTAGTGTGGGGGTGGCTGTGTGTGGTAGGTGTAGTGTGGGGGTGGTGTGTGGTAGGTGTAGTGTGGGGGTGGTGTGTGGTAGGTGTAGTGTGGGGGTGGTGTGTGGTAGGTGTAGTGTGGGGGTGGTGTGTGGTAGGTGTAGTGTGGGGGTGGCTGTGTGTGGTAGGTGTAGTGTGGGGGTGGTGTGTGGTAGGTGTAGTGTGGGGGTGGTGTGTGGTAGGTGTAGTGTGGGGGTGGCTGTGTGTGGTAGGTGTAGTGTGGGGGTGGTGTGTGGTAGGTGTAGTGTGGGGGTGGTGTGTGGTAGGTGTAGTGTGGGGGTGGTGTGTGGTAGGTGTAGTGTGGGGGTGGCTGTGTGTGGTAGGTGTAGTGTGGGGGTGGTGTGTGGTAGGTGTAGTGTGGGGGTGGCTGTGTGTGGTAGGTGTAGTGTGGGGGTGGCTGTGTGTGGTAGGTGTAGTGTGGGGGTGGCTGTGTGTGGTAGGTGTAGTGTGGGGGTGGTGTGTGGTAGGTGTAGTGTGGGGGTGGTGTGTGGTAGGTGTAGTGTGGGGGTGGCTGTGTGTGGTAGGTCTAGTGTGGGGGTGGCTGTGTGTGGTAGGTGTAGTGTGGGGGTGGCTGTGTGTGGTAGGTCTAGTGTGGGGGTGGCTGTGTGTGGTAGGTCTAGTGTGGGGGTGGCTGTGTGTGGTAGGTGTAGTGTGGGGGTGGCTGTGTGTGGTAGGTCTAGTGTGGGGGTGGCTGTGTGTGGTAGGTGTAGTGTGGGGGTGGCTGTGTGTGGTAGGTCTAGTGTGGGGGTGGCTGTGTGTGGTAGGTGTAGTGTGGAGGTACTGTAGGGAACAAGGAAGCGAAAGTCGCGCCGATATCCAATCAATCGATCTATGTTTGTTTAACAGCTGTGATCTAAGTAACCTAGTTTTCTTGTTCGTGACATGACCTACTTCAAATGTCAACACGTCATCTAGCTATAAATAGATGAATTGCTTTTTGCATGTGGGCGTGGTTATGGTGTGGCGTTGTATGTGGGAGAGTGTGTGGTGTGTGGGAGAGTGTGTGGTGTGTGGGAGAGTGTGTGTGGTATGTGGTTGGTTAAGGGGTTGTTTGTGGGTGAGAATGGTATGGGGTGGGGTTGTCACGTGGGGGGCTGGTTATTTATGACCAAAACAACACTTTCCCCCCACTTTCCCCCACCTCAAGGCTAATCGCCCCCCCCCCCCACCCCCTCCAAACCCTGGCTACACGTCCCTCCCTACCACTACAGGTGAAATGGCGAGGTGCGCTATGCGAGTGATCCCCCTTGTCAACAAAACAAACACTCAGGGCCCGTAACTCGACGGTTTCACTTCAGCAAAACCCCGGCGCTAGACGGCGCTGTTAGCACGTCACAATGCAGGACATTGTCCTATACTCAGGGGACTTAACTCCTGGATTAACGGTCTCGTTAACTAAAAATTGACGCAAGGCAAAGTTTTGCTACAGCGTGTGTCAACATTTGTGAGTAGTTTCGCGTGAACTTGTTTTATTGGGTGAGAACTGGTCACACATTTTTTGCCAGCTTTTTGACAACAGGAAATTTTTTTTTCTATCCCATGGATATTTGTGCCGCCCAGGTAAAACAAAGTATTATAATTTACCGTTGTTTATTGTTGTTGTTTTTAATTAATTAAATCTACTTGTCAGAGTATAAGGGTCGATCTGTGACGTCACCTGCCGATGGTGGTGTGTCTGTTATCCTCTGTGTAAGGAACTAGAAAAAAACCAAATACGAGGGGGTGGGGGTCGCGGCTAGCTATTGTGGGAAGTTGGAAGTGGTTACTTAGAGACGTGATGTATGTGACGTTTGCATGTTTTAAAAATTATAATTATTAATTATAATTGCTAGATAACTAGGATGATCGATAGTTGAAATAAATTTAAAAGAATACTAAAATCAGTTAATGTTGACGTATGTTGATGTATGTTGATGTATGTTAATGATGTATGTTGATGTATGTTGATGTATGTTGACGTATGTTGACGTATGTTGACGTATGTTGACGTATGTTGACGTATGTTGATGTATGTTGACGTATGTGGGGGCGGGGTGCAGTAGCGTGGTATACGGTGATGTACACGACCCAATACAATGTGTTGCATAAGTTTGAGTCTTGTTTGCATCCAAGGTTGTCAATTAATTAGAAAAATTAACAAATGAGATATATTGAGGGGGGGTGGGGTGGGAATGCAGAGCGCATGATTCCAAACTAAGACCCCGGGCAGATAAGGCTCGTTAGCTGGGGACACTCGGGCAGATGAGGCTCGTTAGCTGGGGACACTCGGGCAGATGAGGCTCGTTAGCTGGGGACACTCGGGCAGATGAGGCTCGTTAGCTGGGGACACTCGGGCAGATGAGGCTCGTTAGCTGGGGACACTCGGGCAGATGAGGCTCGTTAGCTGGGGACACTCGGGCAGATGAGGCTCGTTAGCTGGGGACACTCGGGCAGATGTGGCTCGTTAGCTGGGGACAGCAACCACCCACTCCACATTCAAACAACTGCAGCCTTGTAGTTTGTTTTTTGTTGGTTTTTTTTGGTAAAAACAAAGGCAATGGAAACAAATCCAGAGCAGGCCGATTCAACGGCCTGTATGGCGCATATGTTGATACGTGATACTTGATCGTGCTGAAGGAAATACCTTCCGATACAACGATTAGTAGTAGAAAAACAGTTTTAAAAACTATAATAATACGTTTTTATGTTTCTTTAGACAAATATAGATCTGACATTTTTTGAAGTTTTGATTGTAACTTTGACGCGTAGGAATTAAAACTTAAGAGTTAAGTGAAAACGGCCTGTTGATACAGTTAAGGGAGATAATCTATCCAAAAGTCAATTAAACAGTTAAACTGCAGATGACGACACATAATTGAATTTTGTATATTTATTATGATATTAAAAATGAGTACTTGTAATTATGTATTTTTATTTTCTATTGTTTATACCAAAAATTTTAAATACCTATTTTGACACAAAATCTAAATCATTGCAAACCTTTAGCTTTTCTAAATAATTAATTTTTTATTAAATGTAAGTTTATTTTATTTTTAATGCATTGGAACATTTTCATAACCAAATATATTTACAAGACACAAAAAAAATTTATATAAGGGATGATACAGATTAACAACAGTAATATTTTTCTTTTTTGACATGTACTTTCCTTCATTTAAGATGGTTAACTAATGGCCTACATAATACAAACCGTCTAATTTCAATTTTATTTTTTAACCTGAAATTGCAAGTGTATTTCAATGGTTATTCAACGCTTTGTTAAGTAGAGGAATTTTTTTTTCGGTGGGTTGGATTGAGGGGGGTATGGTCTTATAACTAGAGCTGAACTAAATTTGGGAGTAAAGAAAAATATTATAAATATTAAAAGACTGATCATATTCCAATGTGGACGCTCTGTCTGAAGTATAGTTAAGAATTGTGAATGAAAGTATTCGTCAGAAAGGTATTCTTTTTGTAAATCTATAATGAAAGTATTCGTCAGAAAGGTATTATTTTTGTAAATCTATAATGAAAGTATTCGCCAGAAAGGTATTATTTTTGTAAAACTATAATTAAACTATTCGTCAGAAAGGTATTCTTTTTGTAAATCTGTATCAGTCCTCAAGCCGATGATGAAAATAATAATTTTAAAAAAGACAAAATGGCGCAAAAATTACTTGTCTAAGACACACACACACACACACACAAATTGCAAACATTTAATTGTCAACCAACAAAATCTAAAGGGTATCTGTTACAGCAGCTAATGTGTTAGTTAGCAACCGTTTGAACAAAGCCCCCCCCCCCCAATTATACATCCCCCCCCATATATCATACACACCCCACCCCCGAACATATCATACACACCCCCACCCCAGCACATATCCCCCACACCCTTGATCAGACAACAACATCCAAATACAGTGTCTTATTATCGAGAAAAAATTAAAATAAAATGCCTGTTATTAAATTCATCTAGCTTTATTTTTTAGCGCAATTTCCTTACAGGAATTGCGATTACTTTTTATTTCGTCTGAGTATGTTCTGCATGGTCGACATAACTGGAGGGTGAAGATGTGTTATAGGGACTACAAGACACAAGACATATGGGCCAAGACTACACACACAAGATATATCACTCAGATGGGCCAAACCTTTATACACACACAAGACATATGGGCCAAACCTTTACACACACACAAGACATATGGGCCAAACCTTTACACACACACAAGACATATGGGCCAAGACTACACACACACACACACAAGACATATGGGCCAAGACTACACACACACAAGACATTTGAACCAAGATTACACACACACACCAGACATATGGGCCAAGACTACACACACACACACACACACACACCAGACATATGGGCCAAGACTACACACACACACACACACACACAAGACATATGGGCCAAGACTAAACACACACAAGACATATGGGCCAAGACTACACACACACACACACCAGACATATGGGCCAAGACTACACACACACACACACACACACCAGACATATGGGCCAAGACTACACACACACACACACACACAAGACATATGGGCCAAGACTAAACACACACACACAAGACATATGGACCAAGACTACACACACACACAAGACATATGGGCCAAGACTACACACACACACACACACAAGACATATAGGCCAAGACTACACACACACACACACAAGACATATAGGCCAAGACTACACACACACACACACAAGACATATGGGCCAAGACTACACACACACAAGACATATGGGCCAAGACTACACACACACACACACACGACATATGGGCCAAGACTACACACACACACACACAAGACATATGGGCCAAGACTACACACACACACACAAGACATATGGGCCAAGACTACACACACACACACAAGACATATGGGCCAAGACTACACACACACACACACACGACATATGGGCCAAGACTACACACACACACACACACACACAAGACATATGGGCCAAGACTACACACACACACCAGACATATAGGCCAAGACTACACACACACACACAAGACATATGGGCCAAGACTACACACACACACACACACAAGACATATGGGCCAAGACTACACACACACACACACACACAAGACATATGGGCCAAGACTACACACACACACACACACACAAGACATATAGGCCAAGACTACACACACACACACAAGACATATGGGCCAAGACTACACACACACACACACACAAGACATATGGGCCAAGACTACACACACACACACACACACAAGACATATGGGCCAAGACTACACACACACACACACACAAGACATATGGGCCAAGACTACACACACACAAGACATATGGGCCAAGACTACACACACACACACACAAGACATATGGGCCAAGACTACACACACACACACAAGACATATGGGCCAAGACTACACACACACACACACAAGACATATGGGCCAAGACACCACACACACACACACACACAAGACATATGGGCCAAGACTACACACACACACAAGACATATGGGCCAAGACTACACACACACAAGACATATGGGCCAAGACACCACACACACACACACACAAGACATATGGGCCAAGACTACACACACACAAGACATATGGGCCAAGACTACACACACACAAGACATATGGGCCAAGACACCACACACACACACACACAAGACATATGGGCCAAGACTACACACACACAAGACATATGGGCCAAGACACCACACACACACACACACAAGACATATGGGCCAAGACTACACACACACACACAAGACATATGGGCCAAGACTACACACACACACACAAGACATATGGGCCAAGACTACACACACACACACACACACAAGACATATGGGCCAAGACTACACACACACACACACACACAAGACATATGGGCCAAGACTACACACACACACACACACAAGACATATGGGCCAAGACTACACACACACACACACACACAAGACATATGGGCCAAGACTACACACACACAAGACATATGGGCCAAGACTACACACACACACACACACGACATATGGGCCAAGACTACACACACACACAAGACATATGGGCCAAGACTACACACACACCAGACATATGGGCCAAGACTACACACACACACAAGACATATGGGCCAAGACTACACACACACACACACAAGACATATGGGCCAAGACTACACACACACACACACACACACAAGACATATGGGCCAAGACTACACACACACACACACCAGACATATGGGCCAAGACTACACACACACACAAGACATATGGGCCAAGACTACACACACACCAGACATATGGGCCAAGACTACACACACACACAAGACATATGAGCCAAGACTACACACACACACACACAAGACATATGGGCCAAGACTACACACACACACAAGACATATGGGCCAAGACTACACACACACACAAGACATATGGGCCAAGACTACACACACACACACACAAGACATATGGGCCAAGACTACACACACACAAGACATATGGGCCAAGACTACACACACACACATACAAGACATATGGACCAAGACTA